CTCAATGGTTTTGAAGCTGGATCAGAAGTTGTCGGGAGTATAGTTTAGTTGAAATGTACTACTAAATTAATATTCATTCATTTATATAAATACAAGTTATAAAAACCGATCTTTATAATTTGTTTCATTTCCTTTTTTGCAGAATGGATAGTGCTCTGATGAATTTGGATCGTCATATAATCAGTGGTTCAGAAAAAGATGGTCTTGTTTTTGTATGGGATTTCATACGTTCAGATGCACCGATTCATACACTAGATCATCAACCTGGTGGCAACGCATGGGGTGTTTTATCTCCACATAACCCAGAATCAGTTAGTGAATTGATAATTGAAACAGCTAAGTCGGTCAATTTTATGATTCATTCAGTCTCACCACACCCTAAACAGAGTAAACTACTTACAGCAGGTGGTGATTTTGTTTGGTTATGGGATGCTGAACCTAAAGATGTTGAAGGGAGTGAATAAAGATTCCTTGTACATATGGTTTGATTTGTACAGATATTTTGTTTTAAAAAAACTGGTGTAATTATGATTTATTATGCTTCACTCTGAATACACCTGAGGAATGAATTATCTTGGTAGGTTAAAGGTTATAACACAGTGCATATTTTCATCGAATTTGCGTTAATATATTATTTCTTAGGAAATAAAACGCGTAGTAGACTATAGAGCCCTTGATGGTTGATTATAATCGTTCATACGATTTTAACTAACTTCGTGATGTAAACCATAACATTGTAGTTGTAATGACTGCTATCTAAAAAGGTTTGTATTTTAAATAATAAAAAAGTTGAACTACCTCAGATCGGTAATAATCATACTGTTAATTTTGATATGTCGCTGTATAGCTTCAACAAAGAATTTTCGAAACAACTACCATTTACATTCAAGGTCTCATTAATGATATGGTAGCCCAGTCAAATGTCACCAAATGAGAAGGCTACGTTGTCCCAATCAGAAATATACTAAGTTACAAGTGCATTCTGTTGGCCGAGAAACGGTTCCATTTTCTCAGTATATATGAGCGCTTATGTATGTAAATCGGTTTACTCAAATAAATTTCCGTCTTCACTCTTAGCATTCTCGTTCGATACCCGACCGGGGACTTACTTATACGAGGACACTGCACATCATAGCACACTGTATGTGACTAAAGACAGTATAAGGGTTGCCGTAAAATCTCAGTAAAGTTAACAAACAACAGATTGAGTAAGTAACAATGATAACACGAAGGTAGGCGACAAAGACTTTGAATTTTGTGTTGAAAGTACATATGCCAAGATCTCAAATATACACAAACAAAAATCTAACAGCAATTAATAGCTTGTTAACGCAGGACATATGAAGTCTACAGATCATCCAAATGATAAAGCACATTTTCTTCGGAATACGATCAGCCTAAAGAAAGCTTATTGTGAATGTACACCGTTTGAAAGAATCCTGAAAGTTGTCTAACAAAACGAATAATGGAGAGTAGTAGTGATAAATAGTTACTACTTTTAAGGAAATGCCTATGACTAATCTTATAAAAGCAATAACCATTAAAATAAATACACTTCTTATCAATTATCTGTACTAAATTAGCTAATTCTTTCAAACGTAAGTTAAATCGATCGTGTTTTTGATGGAAACCATGTTAAAAGGTCCAGGATCGACCTTACTATGAACTTTTATTTTCTTCCGCGTTCAAGTTTAGAGTTGAGTACGAAGCTACCCACTTCAGGATTAGTGTAGCATTTTTACATTATAATCACCGATTGAGACCTATTTCGCTATGAAACGGTTCAATGACGATTATTATTACGAGCATATTTGAAGACACCATTGTCAATCAGCATTAAACTTAAGTGCACGCTTTATTGAAAAAAACTGCTAGAGGTATCTTCCAGGTAAAAATGGGTGTACTGAGTTAACCGAAGTCTGAGCTTGCATCTTGTCGATATACTGTTGACTAATTATGTGAATATGCTTCAGATTTACTGGAGGTACTATGAGTTAAAGAAGTCTCGACGTTCGCAATCAACATGTTTACTGGGTAGTTTGATGGTAACTTGTAATTGAATTTGAGTAGACTCTCTTACTGCAGCAACTAGCATTTGTGAAAGTCAGTTGTTCAGTTGCCGCTGTCATAATTCAACATGATCACACTAAAATAACTTCCAACTAACTGAGAAACCGACTGTTATATCCCGACGAGAACAATGAAAGATAACTACTGGGATCTATCTATGGACTAATATTATACGTATATTCTTATTGTATGACTATTAAATGACTATACTATATGTATATTCATATTCCTTTCATTACAGGCTTTTATTTGATTTATTGACTATTATAATACGATTTACTATTCTAGAGATATTCCCAATTTATCAGCAACCGTTTCCCACAATTACAGCCATTTTTGTCTAGATCTTGTACAAATGTTATTTATGTTTTATGGTGTGGTATGGTATGTTTGAAACATACGACTCACATCGCGGAGGCTGATATGGGCGTTCTGGATTTGACAGGCAGGGCTAGGAGGAAAAAGGATCAATTGGGAATCTAGGCTGTTCGTACAGGTGTATGCGTCATTAGTTGGTCGTATAAGTCCGCGTATCTAAATTTAACAATCGTATTTCGCGGTAATTGTATAAGCTAAGGACAACATCAACAACTCGCAGTGCAAGTATATCAGATATCAATGGGATGATTAGAGATTATGATAGAAGGTTAAGGTTTTGGAATTTATAAGACTCATCATTCTACAATTCTTAAATTTTTAACCATTTGATATATTCTTAAGTTCACTAAGCTTATAATTAGCGGAAAAAATATCTTGCTAGCCAATCATCGTTAATAACTATGTTGGACGTCAGTTGTCTAATTGATTACACAAAGTTCCGGTGTATATGAAGTTAAATACTGCACAATACTAGTCGAATATTTACTGAGCACCAAATCACGTCTTTCAGTTTAGAATCCTTAAGTTAACCAAAATATTAAAAAGTTTTCACGCGCGATCAGTAAAATGTTGTATGACAACTACATTATTAACAATAAACCTACAAACAGTTGATCATAAAACCGACAGTCCGTGTAAGCTTTTATACTCTGGAATCTTCAATGGAACCACTAAGAAACCTAATGATTGATAAATGGAGAGGCGGTTTAGTGGTTAAGGTGTTTGACTTTCAGCTCCTAAACCCCACGTTGGAGCCTCGTCCCACCTACTTCATTTTTGGAACCGAGTGATTTCACTATCCCTCTGAATGTGGCTGATATCCAAGTACCTGGAAATTATATAATTTAATTTTTCCAAGTACCTCTATTAAGTTGGACAGTAGTTAGCAGTGAAATCCAGGATACGCACTTCATACCATTTGTGACTCGTCAGTTTTGTTGGCCTCCATCTCAGCGTTGATGCTTACACTGAGGCTCGACCTCAGTAGTTTTGAGCTTCAGACAGCCAACACGTTATCCACTAAGCTACTGAGTTCAGGCAGCCATTAGCCTGTCCAACGGGAATGAATATTATTCTTTACTTGCTAGCCACTACCTAATTTTATTCACAAACTTGTGAATTAGTGACAGTATTAAGACAATCCTCTCGAGATACACATATACCAAAAGAGACTGATCATTACTGGGAAGATTCAAACTCTTACAAATAAACAATAAAGGAACTCTATTATTTAAGTTCATACTTTACGTGATTATTTTGAGTAAAAGACCACAATTTATAAATCTCAACAGGTACATTTGCGATATAAAACTGATCTGATTGACCTTAGTTTAAACAATGGTAAAAAGGAGTAAAAAGTAATGAATCAAAACAGTTTAAAATTAGATCCATAAAAATGATTTAAAACAACTGTAATCGATGCCTACTAAATAATGTATACACTAATTCAATAGGGAATAGCTACTACTCAACTTCCATACTATTCTCTTCTTGATTCATCTCAACAGTAAATACAATCATTCATTGTAGTTAGATTTCTTGGTGAGAGTATAATTTACGGACAACGTTTAAGCGACTCCAGCGTGATCTTGAGAGTATCTACCTTATAACTAGGACCAAATGAAGGTTATAAACCAGTGTGAAGAATTGAAGTCATGATTTACAGTAGATGGTCAGTGTTAGGAACTGACATAAGCTATAATGATCAAACTCTAATCTGCTAAATAGGTGAGTGAATTTCGCGCTAAGATCTGAGACCTGTTATCTTATACCTGATTGGTTCGTTCATAAATTGTAGACTCGCCGATTTCTTTACTTTGTTACCATTCAATGATTTTATTAGTAATATGCCAAATAAAACTCCAAATGGAGTGCTAAATGGCAGTCTCCGTTAACAAATCATGAAATATGATACTTAATCAGTAACTAGCGAAAATTTTGTTGATAACTTCTGACCAAGTAAATTATTCACCCGTATAGAAAGTAACAAATAAAATTTTTAACTACATTACATTTCTCATAGAAACAACTTTTCTTAAAGTAATTAATATAACTTAGCTGGTGTTTCCTACATGTATGTTTCAACATACACAACAGGGGTACCTAGCCTGTCGTATGCCCTAATGGTGTTCTCGTGAATTTCGGGTTGCCTAGTCTGCCAAAGGCGATGGGACAGTGCATGACAGTATTGTTGTGTGCTAGGTTCAAAGAGAATTGTTTGCTATATGCATGCACGTCCGCCCCGTTATTGTTCTTTAACTCCGCATGTAGTTCTTCTAGAGTTACTGCCGGTCCCAAGCCCGGGTAAAGGAGGAGGGTTGGGCATGGGGTTAGCGATCCCATAGAAAAGTCAACTCGTTAAAAAAACGCTAACCAGAAAAAAATAATGTTTCAACAACTGACAAACTCAATGTTTAATAACTAGTTAAAAAGGTCTATGGTAGAAAAAATACAAAGTCACAAAAATCACAAGTGTCGCAAGTATATTTCTTTAAAAAAATATATGGTTTTCTATTATATCTTAAAAGATTAAGCATATCCAAATGTTATTGTCATCGCCATGCAACTTTTTTCATTGGTGAAGAATAATCAGTCACTTTGTAGATCACGGGTAACCTGTTTGTCTTCGATTGGTTTTCTTTACAATAATAACATCTTCCACTACAATATTTATTACTTGTAAATGTTAACTTATTAGTATTCGAAATCTTTTGACATGGTTTAACACTTGTTACATATTCAACAGCTTGGCAAACTTGAGACTTAGAATTAAATAATGGATTCATGGAAATCGAATTATCCAATGAAGTTTTACGAGAGTGTTCCTGAAATGTCGTACAGAAAAGTTATGTCAACTCTACCGAGGTAAATTACAAGACAACATGAATTATGTTACTTGTTTTTTGATTACAACTATATTTTACTGACTAAAGGATTTAATATTTAATTGGACAACTCATGACTAATGAGTTATTTTAATAATCACACCATTCAATACACAACTATGAATATTACAAATGAAAACAAACAAGAATTCATTAGAAACATTTAACAGAGGAACTTGGGCAAGTGAAATTCATTTTAAAAACTAAAACTCTGCTAGCGATGGGAATTATGAAATTCATCAATGTCTACAGACTGGTTAGACTGCTAATATTCATGTGTTAATGAGTAACTAATTTCGAGAGGTAGTTCCAGGAGTTCTGGTGAAAAGCTGTGACCAGTGGAGTTCAGCCATCTCGTGTGTGAGACAGTTACTCACCAATGGCATTGAAAGATGGTCTTGTAGAGTTTCAAATTGAATAAAGTTTAACTTATAAACCATTAGATCTCAAATGTATATGGACGCTGCAAAATATGAAATCCTGAGCTTGATTCCCAAGGGAGCGCTGGATGCACTATGCTATAGAGTTCCATATTAGAAAGATACAAATGTCTGGTGCGGTGATTACGCAATAATGATATCACTGAAATATAGTCCTTTACTTGAGAGAAATCTGTCTAATAAATTATAGTCATCAAAAATAATACAAAATGCACTGATAATGGTAGAATTTAAAGGAAAATTAGATTTTCAGTTTTTTAATATGCAAAAAGTATACAATGAGTAAGTCCAGAAATACTTAATCAGTTTATAACAAAAACTTACATCTTTGACTGGCTCTTCGACTTTACAAAGGGTGATGTCAGTTGTATCATGGTTAGACTTACGCGTAACGAATCCACCATTTAAACTGGAATTTATACATGGACAACCTCTTGAAAAGGAATTCGGTACGTTAGTCCAAGTTGGCGTTTCAGGTTGATGAGCAGGATTCATACTACCATTTTGGTGGGGATATAAACATGTTTGTAAAGATTTGCGACAATGATCAGCCAATGTTTGAAGCTTTCGAATCAGCCTATGCAAATGGAAGTAACAAGCAGCATCAAAATTTATTTCTGATCTAAGTATAATTATCAAACTAATTAGATTTGTGCAAGAAATATTAATCCAAGACTTTTCGAACTGAAGATATTCATTAATAACGCATCATTCGTGGTGTTTAGTTATTATGTCTTTTTCTAGGGCTTAGTATTCCTGAACAATTCACTTTAACTGGACTGGTCTCAAATCAAAACAAGAAACTTAAATATATTTGAAAGCAAACAGGAGGCTAATTACGATTTTTAAAAATGTTAATGTATACGTAACCGCATAAATTTTGTGGTTACCTCAACTCATCCACTGGCGATGATTGGTCGAAAATGCATGAAACACGTTTAAACTTCGGAAAAATGAAGATTTGAAGCTCAGATGGACATCTTTGGTTATATGTTCTTTCTGAGCTCCCTGGCTTATTTAAAAAGCTTTCATCGTAGTTCTGGACGACATCACCAATGTCTAATTCGTGTAGAGGTGGTTTTTACAGTTGTACCACAAGTATAAGATCGATTTGTCCTGAAGGTTTTGTTTGCAGTTGATTTTCTTTGTAAGTTCTGTTGTCGACATTTGTCAGTGTATTGATATTAACCGTTTGGTTTTGTTGAAAGTAACAACACACAAAAAGAGTTATGTACAGACATTATTCAAAAGAGCTAAAGCACAATGTAGAACTCTCAATACACAAGAAACTGAAGAAATTAACTTTCGATCTAGCTTCCGTAAAAATGTTTGTCTAGCAATTTCAACAACAGATATCTGCCGAATCAACAGACCACCGAAAAGTCAACCCCGTAAACCAAGTAACAGATTGTCCTGGGACATATGATTGTGAAACCTTTCGGAATCAATGTTGATCAAAAAACAAGGTAATCACTTCGTTGTACTATATACAGACGAAATGACACACAAGTAAACAACGACAAATACGTTATCTATAAAATAAATTGGATTGACTGTGTGGAATATTATATTGGAAAAGATTGATTCTCCCCTTGATAACTTTGTATATACTAAACCCAAGCTCAATGAACTTGTTACTGTTAAGTAGATTTACGTAGAATCATATAGTGAGTAAAAATATATGATCCAACTTTTAGACACTGCGTGTTCGCTGTTCCTAAAACCATACTGAAATGATAACCTAGAAGGACGATAATTCTTCATTGACAGTAGTCATTATTTAACCTAATTCCATGTGTAACTTACACAACGTTAATAAACTTTTCAATATTATGAAACTCTACCGCATCACATTCTTTCGGGGGACTACTTAGCCATTGTTTAGAATTGTTTGGAGCAATATTGCATCTGCTACACTTTGAATGAATTCCCTCAGAAAGATTGCTTGATTCTCGAAGAGCCTATGTAGTAAAAATAGGATTCATGGATTAATTTTATTCAGTGATAAAGATTAATTAAGCAAAAGGAATAATGTGATGATAAAATAACGGAAAATTAGAACTTGGAAGAGTTATGTTTAGTCCTGGGAAGATAAAACCTATGGGAATTATTGACTAAAATGAATTATACTACTTTATCTGTGTGTCAGGAAGTTTATTGACTGCAACTACAACATTACATATTCCTTATTTATTGTAATTACTTTATAAATAGAGACAAGTAAATGATAAGGAGAACTGAATTAAATGTACATGACTCTTAAATCCTTTACAATGAAAGCATTCTTTAAAGAATTTCATTTCTATTTCAGAGATTCCATTTAATATACCTACTGTTATAACGTATAAGTGGGTGCGTGCCCTATTTGATATATGGACGTGCTGATTCCCACCAATGAAAGAAGAGAGAGTTTATTGATCGGAACAGTGATATACAAAAGCCGTATGAGCTGTCTTGAGTACTATTCGGTCCTGCTTTCTGCCTAGTCCAGCCAGTTAAGTCCAAAACACCAAAAACAGCCTAGGCAATATGAATCATTATTCACAAACATACTGGGTTTATATACCAACCAAACAGACCATATCGTACCATAAAATAGAAAATAACATTTGTACAATATGTGCAGGGAGTCTTCTTTTAAGAAATTTAAAGCAATTAGTCCCTTTGATAAATTTCGATAATGCAATGAGAAGACGAAGATTATCAGAACTATGTGATATATTAGCGATATATTAGTGATATATTAACAGTTTGTTCTCTCTTTAAACCTACCCTGGTAATATATGCTTATTATCCAGAGTGATTAGGTGTCAAATTGTTTTCACATTATTTTATCATTATTATCCTTGTCTATTCTTACCCCTATTTCCAGTCTAGTTGACCTCTTATTTTTATATATAAATGTTCTTAACAAGTATATGTGTGATCAGATTGTTCGAAATGTATTGCGCTAATATATCACATAGTTCTGATAATCTTCGTCTTCTCATTGCATTATCGAAATTTGTACAATAATTGGCCGAATGTGGCTGTGAATAGTAATCAATAAACTGATGATAATTCAAGGATCGTATAATAATAGTTCAAAGGTCAAAATAAAGTTGGTGATAAGAGGAAACGAATATGATTAGGTTAATTACAATAGGAAATATATATATTACATTGGTCCATAAATAGTCCTCAAAAGTTACCATTCACCATTCTCTTCGGGATACAACATTTACATTACATTTATAATCCGTATTCATATTCTTAATTTTTCAATAATATTGATATTCTTTTTACTAGTTGTGATGCTTTACTTAAGGAAATGATAAGAGGAACACGAATATGATTGGGTCAGTTATTTAACAACTATACAATAGGAAATATACATATCACATTGGTCCACAAATAGTCATCAAAAGTTACCATCCATAATTCACCAGGGGATATAACACCTACCATGTAAATTTTTATAATTAAATAGCCTAAATGATATTATCTGAGAAAGACCCTAGCGACTATGATTTCCAGTTTTTATGAATACTTCTTAAATTTAAACGATAATATAAAGTAATAAAGAAAATTTACATTTCTGTACTAGTTAACCAGTATTAATTTGTAAGGAAAAAGCAAGCGAAAGTTAATATATTTCTTGAATTGAAGAATTCATGGATTGTGCTTGTTATGAATTTAAAAAATAATAGAGAAAGGACGTATGCCAATTCGTTATGATTTTATGTCCAGCTTTTTGTCACGTGATTTATCCATCAATCGAAATACGACTTGTCTAATCTTAATACTGCGCCACATCAATGACGTTTGACCGGTATGAGTAGTCTAGCGTCCTTATTGGTCCCTTGTCCGCCTAGCCCTTTCAATTAAATCCAGAACACCAATTACAGCTTCTGTTATGCGAATCATTTATTTCATGCATACTCGGTTTATATACTAGACAGACAGACTGCATCACACCATAAAATAGAAAATAATATTTGTACAAGATCAAACCAAATATGGCTGTGAACGTGGGATACAATAATCAATAAACTGAATATAATTTAGGGATAGTAAGTCGTATAATAATAAATTAAGGCCAAAATGAAGCTTATAATAAGATGAATATAGATATACACAATCTAGCTACTCAATAGTTAAACAATAAGATTATATATAGAATAATCTTCCATCAATAGGTCCTGGGAGTTACCCGTACTTACGTCTTCAATAGGATATAACAGTTTTAGAATTCGAGAAAGTATCAGTTCTACCATATATATAATAATAAAGTTAGAAATAACTATAGATAAACACATAGTATTCCTAGAATTATAATGAAATACATTAATTATTCGGTGTAGCATAAAATTATACTAACAGAGGTAGAGAATAACTAGATGAAAGAAATGAGAATACAATAACTTAAACCAGTTTTAATAATAATTTGGAAAAGAATATATTTATTTTATTATTATAAGCTTTATTCAATATTCTATTTTTAGTACAATATAGAATTCTCAGCACAAATTATTTCAACAAGTTGAGTGGTTGCCAGTTATGAGTTATCAGTCCAGTAAATTGACAGCTAAATAATGTACATTATTTTAGCTGCATATTGCCGGAAACCACGATATATCTGATTGAGCCTTTTGTAACTTGTACAACGAAAGGTTGTACATTTTCGAGAAACGTTTTTATTGAAGTATGTGTATGGCAGGAACAAGTAACTTAGATGTTCAAGAAGGTCACTTTTTCGTTTATATAAAGATAATAGGCTTAGTATTCAAAGTTTTTTTAGTTAGCTCATCTAAAGCTTAGTAATCAATCTTTTTAAATGTAAAAGTTTAATGTCAACTTCAGGATAATAATGTTTACAAGCCCAACGAATTTTTATCTAATTTATCTAAAATGATAGAATTCACAATATTAACAACAACAACCAAATTATTCTATCTATTTAAAAACTTTAAGCTACTTCTGAGAAAAGTTTTGTATTGAACTGATCCTGCATTGATAATCACCTATTGTATTGTTACAAAAAGAAAAAAAATGTACTTACATTTCTGTCATTATGCTTAACTTTTTCACACGAGTTTTGCTTCCACATATTCTCAGCACATGAAGAGTGAATTCCGTTCACTGGGTATGATTCATGACTAGAATATTTGTTACCTGAGAAAAATCATAATAGCTTACATTGTATCAATATTTAGTGCTTTCTGTTTCACAATGTTAGTGATAATGTATTAAATTAACTAATTACTCTTTCATTGTAAATGTTATGTCTCAAAATACGAATCGGTATCACGTGCTAAATTTACCAATCAGTATTCTGATCATAACTTTTCTACTCCGTGTCTTCTATTCTGACCTCAGCCTACCGTCCTAAGTCTTGAGTAGTGGTGCATTCTGGTCAGTACAATTAACCTTGAGTTAGTGAAAGACTCATTCATGTTGGTCTACTTATTGACCTGTCTTCCTCTATCCTCAGCCTGAAGTCCGAAAAGTCTGTAACCAAGCTTCTATTATTACATTTCAATTACCCAGCACTGCACGGTAAAGCAAACAAGAAATCATACTTTGAACAAAATCATGCCATAAGGGGCAGAGAGTGAAGTAAATAGTACATAATTAACAATAATTAAGGAGTAGAAAAACGCATAACGACAGTTGATGATTCCAGCGAAAGCTTTGGACAAGGAAAACATAGGAACTCAATAATCCAGTTAAGCTACTAACTATATGATGCAAATACTATTAATAATCCCAAGCAATACCAAGTGAATTTAATCCCAAAAGTAGTTTCCAAAGTTCTAACTATTCTAATATTCATTCCCTCATAGCAGTTAGTTACTTCCTGAGATTTATAATATCACTTTTTAAAAGTGTTTTTATCAACAAATTGATTAAGGGTAACTCATCATTTAAATATAATAATTACTGGAGTTCTGAATTTGAATAAGACATTAATGCAGAATACACCTTTGACGCATAGATTTCACGAGTCCGATGAAACACCAAAGACTCAAAAATTATATTTAAAAAGTCAACATGTAAAATTATTGATTAGGGATTTCGTTCAAGTTCACAAATGAATGGAAATGCTAACCAAAACCCTATTTCATCACTAGGATATTCACTGTGTTTACTTACCTATAAATCATGCTATGCATTCTAGACTTAAGCGCTAACCAAATCCAGTTAATTTACTTTCCAATGTAACGACTAACCTAAGTTATTTGACATTAAGATGCACTACTTTTGATACTGAGTGGTTGTAGACCACTAGTAGATTGTTATGGACCTAGGTTTCTCGCGGGACAAGACACCCAGCAGCAAGATTGGGTGTCTACTATCAAGCCAATTTAAAGTTGCCTAATTTGATTTTCATATTGATCAATATGATCCAAGCAAAACTAATGATTACACAATATGACAACAATTACTGAGGATAAACAGGCTAGGGAAATCAAACGAAGCTTATGAGAGGTCAATGCTAGACCGTATAACAAGTTGATGACGTCATCAATTGTGGAACAAGTTGATGTGAGTTCGAATATGAGTCGTTTAAAACTGTAGATTAGTATTGTTATGTCAACTAGGAAGAAATGTAAGCTTATGGATTTCTGCAAGTCGCTTGCATTAATCTAGCATATAAGGTTATATTCACTTTAGTTTTAAAACTTCCAGCCAATTATAAAAGAAGAAAGTTCTGATGTTGGTGTAATCTACTCAGCACGACACTTATTCAAACATTAAAAAACATTGAGATGCCAGGGGTGACTATGTGTTCAATGAAACTTGAGTAAAATATTGTTAGTTGTAAAAACATTGCCTTTACTCATAAATAGTTAGAAAAACAACACAAATAAAATTGACGATTATTTTCCCTTGTGATGTTCCGTTTATTTTAATTTCAAAACTCCTAAATGCCGGCAAACCGGAGTTCCTTATGTTTGATTGAGAAATGTTGAAATGATTAGGCGGCGTGATAAATACTATCACAGATAACGAGCGAATCGTCTACAGAACATACTACTCTAAACAGTTTTTGTGTTGTATAATAGATAATTCCTATTAAAAAATTAAAATAAAGCATAAAAATACTTACTGTCAGTAACAAGTCCCTTTTCAGTTTGTAAGTGCGCTATAATTTTCAAAATTGAATCTCTTTCATTTTCAGCATTTTTTATTCGCTTCTGTAAAACGATAAGAGCAAAAAATTTCTTGAAATCATGAATCGACCAAGTTAGACGAATATTTAATACCTGGAAGCACTGGGCGGTCGTTTCGTCTTAGTATGGGACTCCTCTACTACCCTGCACGTAGGAACCGGACCCAGAACCTTCGGTCTTGGGCGCTAACGCTTAACCTTCACGATCCCTTACTCGTAATTATCATGTGCTTACTACGGAATCGCTTTGAAAATAAGTTTCCAGAGTCTTTTTCAGAAGCAGTGACCTATGGAACTGATCCGTTTTCGGTATGAGGCAGTTATCCACTGGAGACAATGGGAATCGATCGCGCAATGTCTCAGATTGGTTGAAGTTGGACATTGAAAACGTTGGATGCCGACTCAGTTGTCCAGAGGTTAGGCGTTAGCGCGCGGTGATGGAGATCCAGGGTTCTATCCTCCGTGCGGGATAGTGGATATGCATCGCTGAGGAGTCTCATAATGAGACGAAACATCTGTCCTGTAATCAAAGGTTTTCAATGGTAATCTAACTCAGATAGATTCATGCTTTTAATAGAATTTAACAATCTACACAACCTCTTACTCGTGATTGAATTAAGTTTGCAACAGAAAAGTCCACATAACAGCTTGATCTTTGACTAAATGAAAATGGCTAACACAAGCATCCCTTCAAAAAGTTAATATGTGGAGACATAATTAGATATATATGATTATTGGAGTAATTAACGATGCATGGATGTATATATATATATATATATATATATATATATATATATATATATATATATATATATATATATATATATATATATATAGTTTTTCTTTAATTTAATATGGTCTCTTAATATGTCTTTCACAAGTAATAAGAGAAGACGTTAATGGAAAACACTAAGCTTTGTTTTTAGAACTACCATATAGTATCACGTTGTTTTTTCACAACAGTCCGGTTAACTTTTATTGATTAGTAACTACATTTGACTGGGTAATACATTTTGACAAAATTTCAAGTAATAAACTGGTAAACTTCATTATGAAAGTCTAACAGTCAGTTTTGTATTCAAAGCACATTGGTCCTGACACACTATAACACCAAAAGGAATATTCTATACCAGTAATTGGACATTACTTTAAAAAAAAATAAAGTAGTTCACTCAGTAAATTAATGAACACAAATGGAGTTTCGTAAGAGGTATAGTTCAGTTAAATGCATAGCACGAAAAACTTTCATTTAAGAAAGATTGTTTAATTACTATGAGGATTATCACAAAAAACTACAGCATAGTCGCCAGTTGTTTTTATTCTGAGTCATGCCTGATGACATTTCAGGCGACCGAGTTGCACAATTTCGTAACCTCAATCGGGGAGTTGTGATAAACCGATAGATGACAATAATATACAGCTACATTTCATACTCCGACATCATTTCATAAACTGACAAATGACTCTGTCCCAGGGTCAGTAAATAACAGTCTGTTTGGAAGCCACTTGGGTGATACCTGTAAAACATGTCCAAGACATTGAATTCGGTGTTTCAGAATTGTGATACCCAGTGAGTTATAATCACTCCACATAAACATGTAATGTCGAATCTCGGTACTAATAAGATTGTATTGACACCAGATGAGAGCGATCCTTCGGAAAAGACAATGATCAAATACAGAGTCACCAAACATCCTCAGTTCGGAAGAGCTAGGTTTTGAAATTGTAGGAAATAACTGCTCTCACAGAGATGTAGAATCCTCTTCATCAATACAGCTAATTTTTTAAATAAACCACTTTCAGTCCTACTTTAGAGGGAATTTAAGCTCAACGTGGAGAGTAACACCATACTAAACATATGGCCTTCTAAAAACCACCTGATCAACTTTACGGAATATATTCGAAAAATGTCAATAAGAGACTGACCAGTTGCAGTCCTAAACATCAATGGGAAGATTCAAACAAGTAATACTAAGTGAATTTATTCGAAGAATGTTTGCAAATAATATGAAAGCATGATTCATATCACGTTTATCAAAATATATCAATGAAAGTACTCTACTAAACAAAGTTTTTTATCAGCAACGGATTATCTTTCTACTACGTCATGAAAGAACCTTTATATATCAACGGTCTAGTTAACTCTTCATAAAAATAGAAGACAATTGCTAAATTCCTTTGAAGGTATCTAGGCGCGTAAAAGTGATACGAGGTTTTATAGAATGTTAATGAAGCAAACTGATAATTATTCAAACAAGTCTAGATGAGAAAATACCAAATACCACAAATGTATTCAAAAACTAAGAATTCCGGCAGCATGAAAAATAGATATAATGAAGAGATAGTTTTAGTACGTTCAGTCATTTAACTTACTATCAAGATACGTTTGCCGAACACAATAGATTCCAATTGATTCGAACATATAAAGGGTAAGTAAACAACTAAGAAGAGTAATACAGCAAAACCATCAAATTGAGCAAGAGCCCCATGCAGCTGCAAAGAGCTGGCTTCTGTTGGTCCTTCACGACCCCCTGGCTGGGGTTCAAGAGATGGTGCAACACAGGGGCTAGAGACATTATCAGATATGACTCAGAATAGAAGCCAGTGGCGATCTTTCTGTAACCTTCTTTTACTTTCTTAACAAAGAATGGTCATAACTTCCTTAACTGAAAGAATTTTTCTCTTCCCATTCTCATTGCTTTGTGTGGCGCATATATATCTGGTGCCCCCTTGTACCAATATTTATGTGTTTAAGTATATAAATCTGGTGCTCCCCCATGCAGACCTAATGGAAAGCTAAAAACACTCGTAGTTATCATATATTTATGGGTGAGTTTCTGTTATTGTTGATACTAAGATCATTTGATCAGTGTCTAGTAATATAGGTGCATTTAAAGCAAAAGACAACGAGTCCAAGTTTCAGTTTGAACATCAAAACTGGGATGCAGAAATGTTTAACTTGCTAGTAATAAATAGATCGGAACGCTAACCCTAGACTGCGTTGTTAGCGTAGACTCAAATTTATTGGAACCCTGGTTAAGTCACATTAAGTCCATAAAATGAATAATAACCCTTTACGATGATAAACTAGATACCGCAAGTAGGATAAGGAAATGTCAGTGATATATACTTCGCATAAGTAATTGGAGGATGACGCTCAATAAGAATAAGGCTCGCAAATACAAAGTATGCACAAAATGTTGTAAAGAATAGGTGACCTAGCAGAGGATTTTCAATAAAAATACGCATCTAGCCCTTATATTTTGATGGAATTATTTTTAAACCTTGATACACCTTACACCATAAATAATTATTGTCAACATACATTTATGTTTTGGACTAACTGAATTATTTTATTCTCTTGATTCACAATCCATTGTTGATTGGGACTTGGTTGAGTGGTACTATGTAGCAAGGCATAACTTTGATTTGAGCACGACTTCATCAAAAACCAGCTGTCTGACAGTTTATGTTGAATACTGTGATTTTATTTCATTCTGTGACTCTATCTCGTTTAGTGTCTTCAGCGCTCACTTATTGTTTTCAATAACTATCATAAAGGCAAGATTTCTAATTAACTTCATGATCTTTGTTCATTAAAACTAACTCAAAAACAACAGAACCACCATAGGATAAAGATAAAATTGTATACAAAGAGCACAACAAGATAACAATTATTTTTTTTCCACCCTGAAACAAAAAGTGAACAGAAGACCGGTCATTAGAAAAGTAAGAGAAATGTGATCTTCATAATCTGCCAAAAACTGTTAAGTACAAACATTATTAATCTTTAGATTATCTGCATGTGGATCTTGCCCCAACTTTAAAGACTAGATAAAAACAAAAACATCTTCCCGCCTAGCTAAGTTGCGTCTGCTACTGAATTTTCTCTTTTTAACCACACGATGTAAGTTTTAAAAGCACTCATGTGGTCTTCCTATTAAGAACCTAGTACTTCTGTTCTTATACAAATTACACAGTGATATCCTTAAATCTATACAGATTCTGTATTACACTTGATAGTTTCATCAAATCATGACCATTTCCAGTGTACGCGAATAAAACATATTATGTTTGATTATTGTTGGCCGTTACAATGACATAACATTCAACACATATTCAGTGGCAGACCTTGGAATTTGTCATGTGTCAGGCTAGTGGTTAAAAAACTAATTGACGCTGGACGATTTGAAATGATTACTTTTATTATTCCAGAAGTGAATTACGAAAAACTAATTCAAACAAAACAATAGTCAGAAATACTAGGTTCGTTTTAACACTTTAAACTTATGGAATTCAATATCTTCTTGACAAACTACTGTATACCAAATGATTTCTTTTTCTCTGCTTCAAAGAATTAAGACAGTTTCAGTTCCATACAGTACGATTAGTCAAGTCACTCAGCTGCGCTATTCCTGGTGAGTTAGACAGTTACTTGCAATTAAGACTGACTTGAGCACGTATATACTTAGTCCGATGTTGTAGGCGAAGTACGGTAAACACTCACCGTTTCACAATATCCACTAATGGGTAGAAACGTATAAGCCGACTTTGAAAGGATTCCCTTGAGATTGTCCACCGACGAAAGTTCAGTCACAATAGCCGGAGTATCACTCAGAGTAGGACCTACCGGCAATAACAAGAGGTGTGACCATATCTGGCAGTTTGTTTCATATCGAATAATTTACAAAAATCTAGCTAGCCAATCTCCCTATTTTAGACAAAAGTTTGCTCAGTTTGAGCAAATTTTGGAGAAACCGCAATGTGAACTGTGGAAAAATGACACAAAACTCCTAAAACTTCCCCAGGCCTGGAAAATCTCTAAAGTTCTGGGGAAATCCCAAAAATGTTGGAAAATTTTCCACAATATCTCCACAAAATCTTATAGAACTTGAAAGTTTTCCCCAAAAGCTTCACTGGGCTTCAAAAAATTACCATATTTCTTATCAGTTTGGGAAAAACCCTCAAAACTCACCTACAATTCCCCAAAGCTTCCCCAAATAAGAAGACCACACCAGTACTGGTGTGGTTAGTGAGTAAGATGTACTCAAAATAAGTAAATGAAGTGGTTGGTGATATTAGAAGAAAACAAAAGCGTTAAAATAAAGAAATCTGATAACTAGAACTTCGAATAATAAACTAACGTCTACAACCTATTACACAACCTTGGGCACGCGATAACACAGAAAGCCGTCAAATTGTGCGCACGAAATGGTCGGACAAACAAGTACAAAGAGATTACAATGAGACCGGCACTAGAACTAGGTTATTTAGTTTACTTCAAAAAAAATTACAAGTTCTAGTTATGTCGTGTGAAAGTTGTTTAAAAAGACAGTTCCGTTCGTTCTAACTCACTGATTCTAAATGGTAAAGCAAAAATTTTACTATGATTCTAACCTGGCTGATAGCTTAAGGTAGGAACGTTTTGCTTAAAGATGTACTGAATTTGACTAGACTTTGTTTTTGGACTTTTATTTTCTTTTGAATCCTGTTATGAATGTGAAGTCATATTCATTTTACAAGGCTTTTACTACTTTTTCAAGTGACATGTTTCACTATGCCTTGAACTGAGAATTAAACGATCAGCCTAGCTTTACTTATGCTTGTTGAACGCTTTCATTTTTGGTTTTATACTCCAATATTTACTAGTAATAACTGACGCTGTAAGAATACAATGACTTCATCATGGAAAATTATTTGCCAGAGAATCATCAGGAATGGTGAAATTGTGTATGCATTTCATCGAGATTGTTAGTTATAAAACTTGCAAAACTAATAAATGCAATTGTTTTAGCCTCAGTTTTTACATGTTCAAACACTTGATATGTATTATACTCAGTGAACGTTTTGTTTCGCTTGCTTATGTAGGACGTCTCGAAGTGCTTTGGACACCTATCTAAGTTTATTGAACGTCATTACAAACGTTTTCAATCAGCCTCTGGTAATTATGGTTTGTGCGTCTTTCCTACCTTGCAGGCTGCCATCCGATTAAAAAATGACTCACCTTGGCTGCTTACTGACTACTTAAAAACAACAAAAATCCAGAAGCCAGTTCGAGAGATTCGTTGCACAAAAATATCATAGATCGACACGCTTTCTTATCAGATTACCCAAAAGCGTTTCGCGACAGAATGAGGAATTCATCGAAAAGAATTATGTTATTGCTTACAAAGGGCATTTTTCGGGAGTACTAATTATGTATATGTCGTGGTCACGAATTTCCGAGGCATTTTGACACCCAATAGACATTCATACAAAGAAAATGAATACTGTAAAACAAGAATAACTCATTTCCGCAAGTAAAATTCTGTTTGGGGAGTCCACACTATATATTATTCCAATAATCATTTTTAGCACCGCTGGGGAAGATAAAGTTATTTTCATAGTTTTACAAAATTTAATTCTTTGGATGTTCTCTTCGTTCCCACCTCAGACTAATGCTAGAGTTAGCACCGACCAAAGTGAAAAACTTTTAATTAATGCCAACTCAAATGTGCACAATGCTTTGCATGGAATTCAGAGACCTTTTCGGATAACATGCGATCATCAATAAGTCCCGGGGGCCCCCTACACTATTTTCCCACCTGGGAGACATTTTCTAAATGCTTGAGTCACTAGCTAAGATAGTAAATCGGGATCTTCTGCTTGCATGAACCTGTGATTCCTTTGTACTTGATAAAATTCTGATCTCGAATTAAAAATCTGATTAGTTCCTTCGTGTTCATATAATACTTCTTGTTTAATTTGCGTTATTTCTGGGATTAATAGTTCGTATAATAACTGAAATATTTCTAATTATCATATCGGTATCGCGATGGAGCCTGTGATTGGACGGTTGGAATTATATTCAGATTTTTGTGCTTTCGAGAATTACATGGAAAGGTTTGAAATCTGGGCTATGGCCAAGGAAGATGTTGAAGATATTAATATTATGACTCATTTCTTTACATTCATTGGAAAAGATGCATGCAGTTTAATAAAGACTTTAGAATTTCCAGAAGAGCCTGTTCACCCCCTTACTCAACTCTTAAGCAGCTATTGCTATAACATGTAAAGTGTACATGTTTCGAATGTGGTAAATAAGAAAATTTTCATAAAATGATGAGTCAGTACATCAGGACATCCACTTATGTTATTCAGATGACGATTCATTGAGGAGTTTCGATGAAGGCCACGAAAATGTGCACAAGTTTGTCAATGTTTGTCCTGTGGCAAGTTTTACTCACTTAACTCATGTGCGTTTGGTAATTCTAAATGCTTTAAATCTGATGAGATTGGGCACATTCAGTCAGTCTGTAATACTACTGTTCATTTCGCTGCAACTAATACTAAACTTTGTAATTCTGATACTATTAAGTTGGATATTTTTAATGATCATTAACCTTTATCCACGACTTCGAAAAACTGTGTGGAGTCCAGAGTTAAGTGAAATTCAGAATAATTGTGAGACAAAAGCTTCTAGTCACTCAACTTCTTACTAGACTTCTCACTTTATTGTACCAGATATCGTTTGTCCTGGCTATTCACATATTTGTGATGGAATTACTTATATATATGATGCAAAGAAAAACTCTGTTACAGTTAAGCAAAGATGGAAATCCTGCATTAGGTTCTCGGACTACATAAAGACTTATAAATAATAGGTTTTCACAGTAAATGATCGTCAGTCCAAGTTACAACTGATTTCGGAGAGGTAAGACAACAACAATCTACCAAACGTATAAAATGACTTATTTAAAAGGTCCATGTGGGTAAAATGTGTTTTAATCAATAATAGCTTAACCACCAAGTTCGCTGTGTTTGGTGTGAACACTGAGTTTATTTTATCAGACCAAACTACTTCCTTCCGTATAGTGTATGAGTCCTTAATAAATCAGTGATATTTAATGACCTCAATATACAAACTTTATGATCGATTAAATCGTTTCATATTTAAAAAAGAAAACAAATTATGTCGAAGTATACAATACTTCAAGCTGTACTGGTTACCAGCTTCTTCAGAACAGAATGTCGTACTTAATACAAAAGGAATGGTTAATAAATAATTGTTCGGTACTTGGGTGACTAAGTGTATTCATAACATGGTGGTATCAAGTATCTAGCTACCAGAACTGAACTAACCGTTTTCAGTGGGCGGTTAAAGATCAACTATTGTAAAACGTGTTATCAATGTTTATTTGGAAACAGGAGAGATCTGAAACAACAGCATACAAATCAGGATCATTGAATGTATGAGAACGAAGGACATGATGTGTTAGCAACAACGCATATATAGTTGACAAGTCAAATTACGAGGTTACGTTACATAAAGGGAAAAACTTACCTAAAAAGCAGTCTCATATGTCGTTTTGCAAAACCAGTTTATGCAGGGCTCGTTCTTCTTGTTCCAGCACATTTACCCTTCTTCACTCCACAATAAAAACGACAGTTTCACATTATTAACATTACATATAGTGAATTTTAATACTGTTACACAACCATCAACCAAACTACGCTTTAACCTTGAATTTAGTCAAACACGATTTTATTTTCAGCTGCACGGCATTATGCAACGACAAAACTAAAAAACGAAATTAAGTGATAACCGAAGTCAAAAGCCTAGACAAAGATGACCAAGGAATATAGAACGTGGTTGCAAGACTCTTAAGTAAAAGTTAAAATACAAGACAGGACGAAAAATAAAGAAATAACATTGTTTTCCAATATAACTTTTTTTGATGTATTTTCATGCTGTTCCTTCTGTTACCGAGGGAATTGTAGTGGCGTGCTTCGTTAATCGATCGTCTCGATAACCGTTATTATATCAATCTGAACGGTGTATAATATCAAAAGACAAAGGGAAGCGGCAACTACATTTTAATTGACCAATAACATAGGCTAGAAGGCAGTGAGCACATGAGCAAATGTTAGCGAGCGAAGTAAAAATGACATGCATGGGAGATGTCTGGTAAGCCAACTCGCTATGAGCAAGCATTAATCAACATTTTTAGTCAGACAAAAATGAATGACAGACATGTGATAGGTAGGATAAGAAGTGTGCATACACATACGCTCATATAAAAAAACAGTCAAGGTCAATAAGCGAATAACTAACAAGATCAAAATATGACTCATAACGTTATAGGTGAATTGGCTTGTCCAGAAACTAGAATAATCTATGTAGGTGTAATATAGTACACGACGTTACACTACTCCCCACAGAATAGACGGCTTTCGATAATTCGTTTTACAAATCGGAAATAGGTGAAGGGAAAATATGACAACAGTTCTTAGGTTGAATGATGATGAATTAACAAAAGATTTATAGTATCAACCAGGATGTAGATTACCGGGTTACTGTTAATATTTCACCGTTTGGGTAGTTTTCAGTTTCTTCCTCTTACTTATACATCTGTCTGTAAACATCCTTTGACTCTTACTAATCTTTTAATAAATATAAGTTTGAAACGGCTTGAAAGACTCTTGAATTTGTTGAGACTGGCTTACACTTTGATCAAACACCAACTCCGTATTAGCAGGACAGTTCCATATCTTGCTTTTCGCAGCTTCCTGACTATAAGGCATTGCTACCTTATCCGTCAGAAAGTGCTTGTGATTTATTGACTGAGCTGCCAGCCTCTGTGATTGCAACGGTTCAGTCCTTTCAGTATCAGGTATCAAACCTGTTATAAATTCCTGATATGTAGCAGAACATAAATTGTCGTATACACGGTATGCATAATTCAAACAAATTCACATTCTCAGATACAGAGTGAATAAGATAACAGTAGTAATAAAACAAGAAGATACGACATGTAAATAAGTAAATAAATAAATTAAGGTAAATGGGAAAGAGAGTCTATTATGTGTAAAAACCAAAGACCAAATATGAATCTGAAGACACCAGATCTGAATCGCTCTTAGTACGAATCATACCGAAATGTGGGACTATCTTGATTGCCCATGGTTTTTAGCCATAGTTAACTTTTGGGATATTTGTAGATGGTGTCGAGTCGTGATTGACTATGATCACCATTACAACTTGGATCACTCGATTGGTCGAAAACCAGAAGACTGTAATTGGTTTAGATAAGGTATATTTATTGGCGATCTCGTGGTATCGAAAGAATACTGAGACGTGTCAAAGAGTACAGGCAAAAAGGCAGAGCGTCAGAAAGTTCGGGCGGACAAGATGGACAACGGAACGAAAAGTTATTTTGATACAGTTAAACAAAACGAGTACAGCAAAACAATCACTGACACAATTGGTTATAAAAATAATTGTTTCCATTATACCAATTGCGTTCTCGTCATAAAAGCAGGTCACTACACCTTCAAGCCAGATATAAATGGGTCATATACGCTAATTAGGAAAGAGATATTAACAAAAATACTCTTTTTTTCCAACAGAATTTCAGTTATAGAGATAATTTGGAGCATTTTGTTAGTGTACACTCGTTCATGGTTCTCAAATAAAGCAGCATCAAAATAATCTACTGAGTAAAAACTGAATCAGTCATGACGAAAGAATTAAAAAATTATATGTTTAATGTTCATGAAGCATTTTGAAATTGGAAGAGGTATGCGAACCAGATCGAGAAAAGTAAAAGACCACTGAACTCAGAACACGTTGCTGTGACACACATTCAAGGGTACTTCATATGAGTTCGACCGATGGAGAGTATCAGAGAAACATGACTGTTTAAATTTAGATTCTTAAAACATCACAATTGTGTTAAGAATTTGTAGGTAGATCCAAGAAAACATTCGTATGCTGAGAATTCTTCGGAAAAGAATAAATGTTAAGATTCCCTGATACTTCATTGAAAAAAATTCCCCCGAAGCTGATTCAACAACTAGTCACTATAAATGATATGATACTTTTGTATTTGATTGCCCGCTGATTACGGGTTTCGAATATAATACGTTTATTTGTGCTCACCTAGTTCTACTAACAGTAAATTGCACTATTTGAGGTATACTTAGTTAGCTCAATAATTCGAACACTACTGATTATCATATTGGGGTCACGATGGAGTCAAATCTCAGACAGTTGGTTATTAATTCAATTTGGGATGACTTTGATGACTATATGGAGAGGCCAGAAATCTGGTTCATAACTAGAAAAGATATTGAATATGACAAATTTACAGCTTATTTCCTGACGTTTATCGTCAATGAAGTTTATAGCCTGATAAAGAATCTGGCTTTTCCAGAGAAACCGATTTCCTTGTCATGAGAATCTCTCAAGGACTTATTGATTAGTTGTGTGCAGTGTTAGCTTTGAATGCACAGAAAAATTGAAATTTCCTAAAATGATGCGACAAAATGATCAGGAAGTTAAAAACTTCATACTTGAGCTACAGGAATAGGCCGCGAAGTGCAGTTTGGGAGATCATTTGAAAACTGAACTTCGTGATCCCTTTACACTTCCCAGAGTAAATCTGGCGAACATTTTCATATTCAACTTCTCATCTAAACAATGAAATTTCAATTATCTAGTTAATTTAATCTTTTTAGTCAGAAGCTCATAAGTACTTGGTTCAATGAGATATAAATTTTTTGTTTATTTATAAAGTTACTTTGGTCTATGTTGTGAGACAATGATCATCATTTATAGTGTCACTGATTAACTAGTTAACTTTAATTAATTGTTTAATGGGAAGTAAATATAATAGAACTCCAAACATGGTATCGTTTACGTGCATCTTCCCATTGGTGTTTAGGACTGCAATTGATCAGTCTCTTGTTGGCATATGTGCATACTATGCATACTACCTCGATATTGTCTTAATTCGCAAGCATTATAAACAAAGATGGATAGTAGCTAGCAGTGAAACCCAGAACGTGCGTTTCGTCCAATAAGAGACTGATCAATTGCAGCCCTTAACATCACTGGGAAGATTCACGTAAACAATACGAAATAAATTTAAACTTCACCTCATTACACAAGCAAGAGACTATCAGGACTCAGTGACTTAGTAGAAAACGTGATGGCGTTTGAAACGAACAGTACTAGGTTCAAGTCTCAGAGTGAAAATCAACTGTGGGATACAGGCACATCCAGCTGAGGAGTCCCAAATAGGACGAAACGCGCGTCCTAGACTCCACAACTGGCCACTATCCATCTTTGCTTACGAATCCAAACAGTTTTTCAATTTTTAAAATTTATGTACCCAGTCAGTTAAATTATTAAAGTATATTTATGTAGGGACATTCGAGTTTTCCTGGTGAGACTATAATTTATGGACGACCTTTGAACGAATCTTAAGTGACCTTGAGAAATGTTAGTTAATCAGTAAACAGTCAGCACAGAGTAAAAATATATTATACAAAACCAAAGAATTAGAGTGGATACACTTCTTTTATATGGTCCAAAAACTTGTCAAGGTTAGAAAAAGATTCAAAGATTCCAAAATCGTAATGCGTAAGGTAGTGGCTCCATAATAGTTGGTCTCTGGAACCATGATAAGGTCACAAAAACCCTCTCAGCCTCTACCACATAGCTTCATTATTGTTTGTGTGTACTCCGGTTGTGTAGATTTATCATTTCTATTATGGATATGTCCCTACAATACCCATACCACTGAACAAACGAAGCTTCAGTAACATCTGAGATTATTGCAGCCAATGTTAATGGTGCTTTTATTATACAGTTGGCGGCAATTATTATAATATGCCTTAGTCTCAAACTGGATCGAGCGATAAAGGTTCCTATTCTAGCAAACGTCTTCCTTCAACATATGTTACATCGAAAGATAACATAACGTTAGTCTGCACAGGGTCTACAAATGACTCGATTGCCGCAATTACAAATATAAGAACTTCTTAGTAGTCTCATTTGTTGTAGCCGCTTAACTGTCACATCTTCTCTAAAATCCTCTGTGAACCGATGGTACATGAGCACCAGGTACTGAAATCGGCGCCGTGACCCTGAAATCCCTCGAACGCTTCTGATTGGCTCGTCCATAAATTATAGTCTCGCCATTTTCCCTTGTTTAAACGCATAATTTTTGGAAACTTAAAAATATCCCAATTATAGTCATTAAGGTGTTGTTGTTTTTTATATTTTTATATCCGTAAAAATAAAATACAATCTATAGACTTTACAAAGAACAAAACCGGTAATCGTTTATTTTCACGTAACAACTCCATCACATAATATCTTCATGAGATATTCACTGGCCAATATCGAATGTTCTTCTATCATTCTTAATTCATTTGTGAATTGGTCGATGTCGTTAAAAGATTTTGTTGTTTCAATGTGGAGAACCAAATAGCCGCAGAGAAATCTTTTTGATTTCCTATAAAATTGAAAAAAAATTAAAATATCGTTATATAAACTTGATGATTTAATTTAACTGAGCTGCAATCAATTCCAAATTGTTTAACTCCCCCCCCGAAATAAACATGTATGGATAAGAGGTTGTGTATTGTTACTGATCTGAAATTGCTCCCAGTACTCATTTTTACACTAATAATTATACCAGTACTAGATATTGAAGAAGGCTGTAGATTATTGTATGGTTATATAACTAAGTCGTTATAGGTAAACAAATAACAAAATGCTGATTAGAGAGTTTTCTGTGAAGATTTTAAATAATTTTTATATATACTTGAAATCATGAGTCAATTGAAGCAAGACCACAGTAGAAAACCTAGAAGCACTGGACGGCCGTTTCATCCTATTGTGGGACTACTCAGACGTTAGCACCGTTGGATGCTGGTTTAGTGGTGTATAGGTCAAGTGCTCTGGCGCGAGGCTGGTAGGTCCTGGGTTCGAATCTCGTGTGTTGGATAGTGGATGAGCACTGCTGAGGAGTCCCACAATAGAACGAAACGGCCGTCCAGTGCTTCCACGTTTTCCTTGTTGGTCTAGCTTTAATTAACTCATGATTTCAAGTATATATAAAATGCTGATTATTCAAGTATTGAGACTACTAGATAAAGTTTTAATCACTGAGACATGAGTTTCGTATGAGAAACAACTTCCCAATAATAGTTTTCATTATTGATCAAAATTCGGTAAACTTTAGAACCTAAATGTGGATTTATAAAAAAGTCGTCGCCAATTTGTTATGATTTCATGTCCGGCTTTTATCACGTGATTTATTCACCAATCCAAATAGGACTTGTCTAATCTTAACACTATTCCAAATCAATGACATTCGACCAGTATAAGCAGTCTAGCGTCCTTATTGGTCCCTTGTCCGCCTAACCCTTCCAATTGAGTCCAGAACATCAATTACAGCTTCTGTTATGCGAATCATTTATTTCAAGCATACTCGGTTTATATACCAAATAAACAGACCGCATCACACCATAAAATAAATAATATTTATGCAAAATCAAGGCAAATGTAGCTGTGAACGTGGGAGAAATTAATCAATAAACTGAATATAATTTAGGAACAGTAAATCGTATAATAATAATTCATAGGTCACAATGAAGCTTATAATAAGATGAATATAGATATACACAATCTAATTACTCCATAGTTAAACAATAAGAATATATATAGAATAATAGTCCACTAATAGGTCCCGGTAGTTAACTGTACTCATGTCTTCGCTAGAATATAACACTAAGGTGTCTGCAACATAATGATGATGGGTAACAGACTAAGTTTTCATACACAACAAGATATCTAAATCCCTTCATTTCAGACAAAAATGGAAGTGATTCTTATTATTGTATGGCTACTTTTAAGCATCTCATAAGACTTACTTTAGAAATTAAGTGCAGACGGTTCAAACATATTAGTAATATTATAATATGCATCATTTTTAAGGCCCCGAACATACTCATTTGTTATTAATTTTGCGTTAAAATGTTTAATATTTAAAATATAGAACACTGCTGAATGAATTGAACAATTCGTTTTAATCCCGAAGTTCTATGGACACTTAAATCCAACATCATAACCAGTTTTTCGTAGTTGTCTTGACTGATTGATCAGACTTAGCCTCTGATATATCATGAAGATTATTTTTCAGATTTCATTATACCTCTTATTTAAAGCAATTAATCCCTTTGATAAATTTTGATAATGCAATGAGAAGATGAAGTTTATCAGAATTATGTGATATATTAGCGCAATACATTTCGAACAATCTGATCATTTTTAGACATTTTTATATGAAAATTAAAAGGTCAACTAGACAGGTTAAGGTAAGCCGTTACAAAGAAAGAAAATAAATAAAGTACACAAAAACAATGTGATGACTATTCTGGATAATAAATCAGTATTACCAGGGTAGGTTAAGGATAAGAACAAATTGTTTTTGAACACATAAAGTAGGTTTCAATTTCCGTATAGCCTAGGCTTCAATAAATCTTAGTCTACACACGTCCTTGAAGGCTTTTGTACAACCCTACAAACGCTGACTTGATGTCAACCTTACGACTAGTTTCAACCAAATGTTTCGCAATGGAGGAAGATTTTTGTCTATTCTGTGATCTAATTTGCCATTGGAATTCATTTGGTTCTGCAGTCTTAACAAGTATATGTGTAATCAGATTGTTCGAAATGTATTGCACAAATATATCACATAATTCTGATAAACTTCGTCTTCACATTATATCTCTTATGACAGAGAGTTTTAGACCATGTTGAGAAGTCACTGGAAAAAGTCTATAATCCAGTGTAACAAACGCTGACGGAAAGATGGTCTTCATTATTTCATTTACATCATATTTTCATAATCAGTCCTTTACTATCATATGATAGCTTATGCTTAGTTTTTATATAAATATTTGGCTTGTAGAATACCTTACTACATGAAAATGGAACAGTTTTCTGAACATTGAACAAATGACGAATGTTATTTGATTTAGCTTCAATCAAAATAAGGTGCTGTTGACTCTATCAAACTCAAAAAACATAAACTTACTTCTCATATCAGTCTAGTTTTACTATTTATTTCAGCTTTCCCTTGTTGATATTTTTTTTCTTCACATTTCAACTACATCTTTAACGACATAGTTGGCACAATTTCTGCATTTGTACATGATGGATATTTTACACTTGACAATGTTTACGATGCATCGCAACAATATTGATACAATGAATGAACCTAAGTTCGACATTCATTGAATGTCAGATAACATCGGATACCTGTTTCATCATATTAAAGGACTAGACAGTACTGGATATTATCAATCCCAAGGGTGACCTAAGCCATGAAGGTATAAGTAAACGGTAAGTGAAATGTTTGTTAATATGCTTATTGGATGTTAAAACAAGGTTTAATTTAGTGGGCGAATATGATAATTGTCGTTTATGATAATAGTACCAACATGGTACTTTGTTTCTTCAATAAGTAATTCAAGAAATATTTGGCAAGCCTACTTATGATAAACAACATGACATTATAGATAGATCTACAAATCGACGATTTTTTTTCTAAACTAAGTAACCAATATGATTGAATAACCAATTCTAATTTTTATGTGCTGTCGTTTTCAATAAACATGGTTCTTAGTCTTTACATATCGCATTTCATAGACTCATATATATTGTATGCTACTTATGTCGACAGACATAAGTAGTATGAGGAATGCATGGCAACAGAATGCTATGAAAGTCAATTTGAAGAAAACAGAAACAGAACTATAAAAGAATTGTAAACTGAAAGAATCATACAAAATATGAAGGATAAATGATGGAAACTTGTAAATCAATTATTCAGTGTATGGTACTCATATTTTATCAAAAGGTTCTGTAATTTAGTATTGGATTATAATTGGTTGCCCCTGTGTGTTCGCGTTCATTATGCATGTTATAGTTAGCACAGTTACTATGTAACTTTGATCGTATTTAATGTTTACTTTAAATTCTGCATACCCAGATTATTGACTTAGTTTCTAAGTTGAAAATATTGCATCAAATTGTTATTGATCCTATTACTACTATTATACCTGCCTGCTTACTATCGATCTATGTTTTTTTTACCTATTGTGTTCAGTTATGCAATCGACTTCATTGTTATTATTAACTCATAAATTACCTTGGACTGATTTGATATTTTCGTATATCCGTATAAATTATCCTTATGGTAGAGTTCTTGATCGTTGGTCAGATAATTAGGCCGAGTGTATCTCATGATCAAGTATCGTGTTTTAGGCATCGTAGAATTGTCAACTCAACTCTGATTTCTCGTTATAGCAAATAATCGTATCATTTTTTTTTGTAAATAAAACGATTAGAACAACATATATATATATAAGTGAATAAATATTGTTCTCAATTAAATCATTAGGTTTAACGGTTGACAATTCTACGATCCCCAAAAAACATGATACTTGATCATGAGATACACTCGGCCTAATTATTCGACCAACGATCAAAAACGAAAGTGTATAAACACTAAAGTAAGAAGCAATGAAAGGGTTGGGTCAATAGTGAAGTATAATTGTGTAGCTGGATGTTTGTGTTAGATAATTATCTAATCATAGATTATTTTAATCAAACATATCACTGTGAGGGTTTTCTGAACTATGTAATGAATTCGAAACATTGAATTAGAGGCTACACAAACAATACACAGGTACTGTTTTAACTCTTAAATAAATACATTCTAAACCACATTCATTTGAAACAATAACAATCTTAAAATACTTAATCAAATAATCTAAGGGTTAAAAGTGAAAAACATAATTCCATTACAAAGGTTATCTTACCCCAGTCATTAGAGCTTTGACATAGTTTCGAATATAATGTAAACCTAGGACTTTGGTAGTATGCAAAAATGTACAAGAAAACAATACACCTCGAAACTTTTTGATTTCAAATGTAATTTTACAAATAGATATACACTGTAGGAGACTTGAGAAACAAAAATTGATTCCGTTAGTTTTCAACATTAGTAAGGAAATAAGCATTTTTTTACAGTAAACTGGTAATGCGAATAAGATAACTAGTTACAATGCCGAATATTTAAATACCAAGTTGTTTTATAACTAACTGAACAAGGCATCCAAAAAATTTTTCCGTTACAGTGATGAACCAGATATGATACAATGACTAAACCTCTAAATGAAGTCTGCATAAATCACTTAAATCAAGAAGTAACTAAGTAACCATATGCTCACTAGTAACTGAATTCGAGAGGTGAATCCAGAAGTTCTATTGAGAAGCAGTGATCAGTGGAGTTCAAACCACGTCTATTGTGAGATAGGAAGTCACTGAAGACAATTGGTGGTCTGTTGCTTAACTTCGTGGATTGGTTGAAGTTAGACAATAACACCATCGGATGCCGGCTCAGTGACCTAACGGTTGGGTTCTCTGGTGCGAGACTGGTAGGTCTTGTGTTCGAATCTCGCGAGACGAGGTCGTGGATGCGCACTGCTGAGGAGTCCCACGATAGCACGAAACGGCCGTCCAGTGCTTCCATGTTTTTCATGGTGATCTAGCATCAACTGACTCACGCTTCCAACTATGAAAATAAGTAATCTTTAACTATTTTTATCTATACAAACATCTTAAATTTTAATTGAGAAGTAGTTGTTTATAAAACCAATAATATTTAGAGTATGGACAGATTTTCACTTTAACATTAGATGGTAGTCGAATCATACTACATTTAACATTATATGAGGTTGACATTATCAAGAAGACCTTATTTACAAAACGGTTTTTGTTTAGACCTTTTCAGTTTTCGAAAGTTATATTCACTCTGACTTGCTTTCTATTGCCAGGCTCAGTAAAAAAATTCTGTATAGATATATTGCCATTCTGGGAGAAGTCTTTGTTTCTGAGGAAGGTCTTATATTCAATGATCAAAAGTCTACTTACCTACGTTTCTTCCAATAAATCTGCCTGGAAGAGAAAAAGCAAACCAATGTTACTACTCCTGAATTATTTTACAAACTTCCAATAATGATTTTCAAAAAAAAGAGGCTGTATTGAAATGTCAAGAATAACTTAATAATGAATAACATTTCACCTTGCCACCTTCTCCAAAAATATGCATACCTTTCCATTTTAGCCTCCTTCCTTGACAACCCCTGTCAAACCATGAATTAACATCAATATACCAAGATGGTTTGAGATTTGGCAAAGCATTAGCCAACAAACAAAAATCACATTCTGGTCGTTCAGGGAATAATAATACTTTCCATTTATTTTGCCAAATGAAATATTCATTAAATGCTGTATGATTTTTATCCAGATAATGTAAATATTTAGCTAATTGTCTTGGACTAGAAAATTGATCAACATGTATGAAAGAATTTGGTGGTGCTACACTTTTATACTCTTCAATTGATGCACCCATTACGACTGGTATAACATCATTCCTTAAAAATAAAATAAAAAAATCCAAATGAAATAATTTAATGAATGAACTTAGTAGCAAAGTGATAATAAACATATAAACATTTTTTTAAAAAACACTATTCCAAGTTTGAATTTATTGGCTTCAGATGTTAGTAGTATAGGGTTGTGGAGATCGTCGAATTCTCTCGGAGTGTCGAACCGATTTATGTTGAACGACCAATAATTGAAGTTGAACTTGTACACTACTGAATCTCAGCTAAGCGGTCTGGTGATAAAGCATTCTCACGCGAGATCGAAGGTTCTGTGTTAGATCCGTGGTTGCAAGGTCGTGAATTCTCACTACTGAGGAGTCACACGCTAAGACAGAATGGTTATTCAGTGCTTCCAGGGTTTTAATAATTTTCTAATTTAAATCAGTTTTTAATCTCAGTAAGGTAGTTTCTCATTAGTTGCAAGTAACGTCTACATATGAAATTTCCATCCAACTGAAAGAATGATGTTTAAAATTAGTATGGACAGACAATGAAATATATTTCATATATTTGTTTCGAAGCCGGTACCCTTTGGTATGGTAGGAGAAAAGAAATAGTATATCTAGAGATTATACTACAAATATGGTGGTCAATGTCTTGTTATCAATACTTTCCTAAGCATTTCTCGGTAATGGTAATGTATGCCTAATTCAAAGTAAGGACCGGAAACATTCTGAAAAGCAACTATAACTACAAATTGAGAAGTAATGAGTTAAAGAGTGTAGATCTAGATGATACGTATGCATTATTTTGTGAAGTTTTAACCTCGTAATGACTCAAGCAACGCTAGGACTAGCTTGAAAAATACATGGGTAGTTTTAGTTTAATATATAGCACTAATCCACAGGCATTTTAAATATTGGTTTGTGCTGAGTAAAAGTAAATATTTCTGTTGTGTTAAGTTTATGAAGTGTCAGAAATTGACATTTAAAAACCAACCAGTATTGCCAAAAATCAGTTAAAATTGTTCACATGTACTCACATTATCTACCTCCAAACAATAAATATTTTAACAGTTGAATTCAGGAATCGATCTAAGCTAGACCACCATTGAAAACCTGAAAGCACAGGACGGCCGTTTCGTCTTAGTATGAGAATACTCAACAGTGCACTCAGAACTCGGACCCATGACCATCTGTCTCGTGCACGAACACCTCACCTCTAGACCACTGAGCCGGCATTTAACAGTGTTAATGTCTAACTTCAATCGATCCATGATCTTGCACGACACTTCATTCAATCTTTCCAGGTTTTTAATGGTGGTCTAGTCTAGATCCATCAGTGAATTAATCTGTTAATGTAGTACAACCTCTACAAATAGCTGCAGAATTTACAGAATCATATATTATGCTTGTCAATTATATGTCTCCACAGGACAATGCTGGGGAATACACTAGACTGTTACGTAATTAATCGAAAATATTAAACCAGAAAAATATATTTACAACAATAAATTCAAAGATCTCATATTTAAAAAGATTGAGAGATTCTCTTGTTGAAAAATATTTGCATAATACTTGAAAATTATTAATTTTTAATGCAGTGGCTTCGTGGAGGCTTTTGAGTTTGATAGTTAACATCACGATATTATGCCAACTAAAAAACTGTTGAAAGCCAGAAAGAACTGTATACTTGTTTTATGGCAGCGTTATTTACATCATCGGTATGCATCCAAGACCCGGTCCCCAAATGCTTTGGTACGACCGAGAGAGGGGAAAGTCCGCTCTCCCTCTCCAAATGCTCTCACATGGCCACGCGTATATAGCCTCTCCCACGGAAGTCATACTCACTGCCTTCTCACAGTGGCATTACTGTTGTTTACGAAATTGAGAGGACGAAAAGCGATTGTCCGGCGCTTTAACCGGGTTGGTGGAAACGGCGAGTCCACCTAGGGGAGTTGGAAAACCCTGATTCCAAACCAATGGTGCACATGGGCTGGCTCCACTATCCTGAGGGAACAAACAGCGTATGAATCAATCGTTGGTCACCGGCTACATGGGATTTCATCTCCTTACGATGCTGCACTGCTTTGTGGATCAGATCTTTCGGTCAAAGGCTCCGGATGTGGCCCCCTAAGAAAACCACCTGTTTCAGTTTGGGTACCCGGGCAGTACCACTGCTCTCACACAAATGAAATGAGATTTGTGTGGCGTATATATATTTGGTGCCCTTTTGTACCAATATTTATGTGTTTAAATAAAATAATTAATAAATAAATCCAAAACCCTCAGAGTCATCAAGTCTCATGGAAAGCACTTAAACTTTAAATTACCAAGTTAACATCTAATAGTTTACACATCTAGCACTAATCGATTCACGATATTACTCAACCATCTTCTAATCTCATTAGTGGAAACAGCCTCACATTCAACACATCTGAACTCCACTACTCTATTTAAATCAGTGATTTCACCGATCATTTCAATTATACAGAATGGATTAAACAGCTTAAAATTATGTATATGAAGTAAAGAGAAAAAAACTTACATTAGAGCATTTTTAAAAAATTTTTCAGTAATATAATCCTGACAAAGAGAATTTTCAAAACTTAAATAGAACTTATATTGTTCTTTTAACATTTTATGACATTTTGAATCTTGGCATTCTCGTTGGCTACATTTACCGTATACATCAACCTTTAATAATAAATAAGTAGGTAATAAGAGAAATGAATGAAGTAATCGAGAAATGTTACCATTAAAACAAAAATATTGAAACATAATATTGTCCAAATATATTCAGGATTGTGGGGTTAGTGAAATATCACTGAGCCTTAGGCAAATCTCCCAGCAGTTAGGTCACTGTATATCGAACAGATCATTGATCCCTATCCAAGTCAAGGACAATCAAAGTTCATCAGTTAATCGTACATCATGAACTCACTCGTATGGTGTGGTCAAACTTTCGGTTGAAGCTACTTTAACTAATGTATTTCTGTAATAACGTCCTTTGTGTTGTACAGCCTTCAAAGCCTCCATAAAGGGATAATCCACGTTAGGTGCTGACCGCGAGATGTGATTTCGACATTAGCTGTTGGTCACCCCATTCCCGTCTAACTCGAGAAGGCCACTAACCATACAGCATAGATCCTATAAGTCAGTGATCTACAGGATAAATGAGTTACTTAAATTTGTTTCGATTTTATTATCGAAAAATAACTTTATCATGTTGATAAAATCAAGATATAAGAGTATTGATAGCTTTTAGTAATCTGTAAAAATAGATGAGAGAACTGGCTTTCAAAACATCCATTACAGATATAAAGACGGAATTTCGATTTTGAAAATGATAGTTCAGGTTGACAGTCCTTGGGATCAATCGTTTTATGAGTCAAATAGTTTAATTACTTACTATTACATAGCATATTTAAAAGCATTCTACATAGCTGATTCATTTCCAGATGATATCGAGGAATCACTTAAAATGGGATATTCTTGCATGAAATTATTGTAGAAATGATGATATTGTGAGAAATTGATTACGTTGTTAGTTGTTGACCTCTTCATGGATGATTCATACCGGATTCACTACGACGTATCTGTCGATCTCAATTTGATATGAATAATATACTTTTGAAACTTCCCTAGATAATTGTCTATATCGTAGATATATGCTGTTTAAACTCACCATCTGCATTGTAAGTTTCATAATATTATGAAACATAGTTGTTGTCTTCAATGGTTATTTTAAGACTCTTATTAAAAAATAAAACAATGAATTAGCTGAATTCACTTAGTATTGTTTGTTTGAATCTTCCCATTGATGTTTAGGATTGCAACTGGTCAGTATCTAATAACGCGATGGCGTTTGAAGCGAAAGGTACTGGGTTCGAGTCCCACAGTGAACATCAACCCTGAGATGAACGTCAATCCATCTGATGAGTCTCAAACAGAACGAAACTCGCGTCAAACTGGATTCCACTGCTAGCCACTATCCATTGCTTACAATGAATTGGCTGTTTTATCACTAAATGTGGATGTTTGGCTACATGGTTCTCACTGAGAACGTTTCAACACAAGACAAAAGAACTTTAAATTTAGCAGAGAATTTTCTAAAGTACAATAATCTGGTACAATGATGATGCCTCATGTTCAATGTTAATTACATTTGAATAATTCCATTTTGGATTTAGGATTTATGTGGTAAGTTGTATGATAAACAATATTGGAATAATGAATTCAGTTAAATGAACGTCAAAATCCATTAAGGTAAGTCAGAATGATATAAGCTGTAAAGTCTTAATCAAGTAGTTACTGTTTTCAAATGCAACTGAATGTGGGTTTCTTGTTTTCATAATTAATGTTAAAATCATCATATTACTCAAATCCGATTACTAATTTGTACTCATATTCCAAAGCAAGAAGATTATAATGCTTAAAGAGAAGACACGATGCTTAAAAGGAGAAGTAAACAGACAACAGCCAATCATCAAAAATAATCATAAATTACTCACAGTTATGTGGAGATTTGAGAATGCTGCCGCAAATGAACACTGCGATCGAGAACGCCAACTTACAGGCTAACGTGAAATTACAGTTTCTTTGTAAATTATAAAAACCATACCTTAAAACATCAATGGGAAGATTGAAACAAACAATACTAAGAGTGAATTTCAACTTCACCCCATTGCACAAGCAAGTAGCTATCAGGACTCAGTGGCCGAGTGGATAACGCGATGGCGTTTGAAGCAAAAGGCACTGGGTTCGAGTCCCACAGTGAACATCAACTCTGAGATGCAGGTACATCCAGGTGATGAGTCCCAAATAGGACGAAACGCGCGTCAAACTGGATTCCACTGCTAGCCACTATCCATCTTCGCTTATAATGCTTGTGAATTAAGGCTATATCGAGGCAATACGCACAGTATGCACATATGCCAATTAGAGACTGACCAGTTGCAGTCCTAACATATCGAAGGGAAGATCCAAACAAACAATACTAAGTGAATTTCATGCATTAAATACTTCAGTTGCAAATTATCCATCAACTGTCTCTTACAAACTTCATCATTCTTTCAACTATGTTGTTATTACAGTTATTTCATGTTTATATTCCTGTTCTCTTCAATTCGATCTTCTCAACCTTCTGCTGCCAGGCATTCCACTTCGAAATGGTGTTACATACTACTTATATCTGTGGATATAAGTAGCATACATCACAAAACTAATAGTTTTACATAACATGATATTAAAGTTTCAACTTTTACAAGATCATTTTTAAAAGAATTAAAGATACTTACAGTGATATATTTCGATAATTCATAGGCGTATAAATTTCTTGGACTGTTCGGATGACAATTACTTACAATCCATGCTACAGTTTTATTCTTTAATGCAGATATATTTCGTGGTTTAAACAAATTACCAGTACTAATACTACGACCATTATCATCATTAGTATAAAGCTTTTGATGATATTCAAGATTTTCTATCACTTTTCCATATGGTAAGTGTATTGTTGAATCAAGTCTATATGTGGCGGTGAAATTAATCTGGAAATAAAAGAAAATAACCAGTATTTATTGATTATTAATTATTATTACGATGATGATGATGATGATGATGATGATGATGATGATGATGATGATGATGATGATGATGATGATGATGATGATGATGATGATGATGATGATGATGATGATGATGATGATGATGATGATGATGATGATGATGATGATGATGATGATGATGATGATGATGATGATGATGATGATGATGATGATGATGATGATGATGATGATGATGATGATGATGATGATGATGATGATGATGATGATGATGATGATGATGATGATGATGATGATGATGATGATGATGATGATGATGATGATGATGATGATGATGATGATGATGATGATGATGATGATGATGATGATGATGATGATGATGATGATGATGATGATGATGATGATGATGATGATGATGATGATGATGATGATGATGATGATGATGATGATGATGATGATGATGATGATGATGATGATGATGATGATGATGATGATGATGATGATGATGATGATGATGATGATGATGATGATGATGATGATGATGATGATGATGATGATGATGATGATGATGATGATGATGATGATGATGATGATGATGATGATGATGATGATGATGATGATGATGATGATGATGATGATGATGATGATGATGATGATGATGATGATGATGATGATTCATATGTCATTAACTTCATCATTACGAATGGAGGGGACATCATCACTCCATTCATGATGTACATTCGTGATGATTACGAAGACCGGAACAGACAAAAACAACAACAACAAGAACATGAATTTTATCCTGGATTCTACGTAAATTATCAAATATTAGTTCAATTGACTGTGGGTTTCTAATCAATATTAAGACTCGAATAGTATTCTGTGTTCAATATGGTATGAAAGTGAAGTCTTAATAAAACATTATTTCAATGGATAACTCAAATATGATTTGTAGGAATCATAATTCATTATTTATTCGATATTTTAGATCGATAGAATTCCTATACTGTTTTTAATAAAAATCATTAAACCAATTCATTTGGTATTGCTTGCTGGAATCTTCCTATTGTTGTTGAGGTCTGCAATTGATCAACCAATTATTGGCATATGTGCATACTGTGCGTATCGCCTCAATATTGTCTTAATTCACTAGCGTTATAAATGTTATAACGTATGAAGTCGTAATATATATGAACGTGCAATTAGAGAGGTAATGGATTTTACTGATCGGCGCAATGATACATAAAATTGTACGAGCAGTCCTGAGTGCTATTCGGTCCTTCCTATCTGCCTAGCCCAGCCAGTTAAGTCCAGAACACAAATAACAGCCTCGGCAATATATGAATCATTATTTACAAACATACTGGGTTTTTATACAAACCAAAGTAATCAATAAACTGATTATAACTCAAGAATCGTATGATAATAAGTCAAAGGTCAAAATATAGCTAATGATAAGAGAAATACGAATATGAATAGTTCAGTTACGTAATAATTGTACAATAGGAAATAGGCATAATACATTGGTCGATAATAGACCTAAAATTACCATTCGTAATTCACCGGGGGATATAACAATAAGCAAATATGGATGGTGGCTAGTGGTGGAATGTAAGACGTACATCTCGTCCTATTTGCGACTCGCCAGCTGGATGTACCTGCATCCCACAGTTGATGTTCACTCTGTGACTCGAATCCAGTACCGTTCGCTTCAAACACCATCATGTTATTCACTTAGCTATTGACTCCTGATAGCCACTTACTTGTGAACATCAACTCTGAGATATATGTACATGCAGCTAACGAGTCCTAAATAAAACGGAACAGACATCCTATATTCCACTACTAGTAAACATCCATCTTTGTTCATTAAACCAATATTTAAGGTATTAAAAATTACTATTCATTTAATCATACGATATCTCCAATTGATTCAGTGTAACCATAATACTCAACCGAAATTGAACACTTTAGATGTAATAAACATCATATTAAGTCTAAAGTAAATATAAGTATAAAGTCCAATATTGACTTAAGTCATAAAAACTTACAATGTATAATGTTACAAGATTTAGAATTGATAGAACAGATTAGTTTTTGGGTTTTGCTTTTTGTCACTTGTTGTATTATACAATGTATTGACATTGAGTGAAATTACATTAATCTAATGAATTAAAACTTTGAGATTAAAATAGAATGGAAAACCTGGAAACACTGGACGGCCGTTTAGTCCTATTGTATGACTCCTCAGCAGTACGCATCCACGATCCCGCCTCGCGAGATTCGAACCTAAGACCTACCAGTCTCGCTCCAGAGCACTTAACCGATAGACCACTGAGCAGGCATCGAACGGTGTAAATGTCCAACTTCAACCAATCCAAGAAGTTGAGCAACCGTTCATCAATTGTCTTCAGTGAGTTGATATCTCCCAACAGACCTGGTTGAACTCCACTGGTCACTGCTTCTCACCAGAACTCCTGGATTTACTCCTCGAAGTCAGTCACTAGTGAGCATATGATTATAATCAGAAGGGGGTTTTGTGAAGATTTAGTATTTTCATAGTTGACTCACGCTTTCAACTATGAAAATACTAAATCTCCACAAAACCCCTTCTGATAATAATAAAATAGAATGATCATATATATATATAGTAGATCAATTTCATTTATTGTATCAGTGATACAAACTGTTTCAAAGATCTAATATGCAGGCAAGAAAAATAGGGTTAAACTATAATCTATGAGTGAACCGATGAGATTTAAGATAGTAAGTCTTAGATTTCTGGAAAATCCGGAATCAATGGACTGCCCTTTCGTCCTAGTGTGGAACTTATCAGCCGTGCGCATCCACTATCCCACACGCGAGATTCGAATCCAGGAATTCTAGTCTCTCGCGTGACCACTAAGGCGGCATTCGACGGTGTTAATGTTTAGTTTCAACCAGTCCATGATATTTCTTTAATCGACTCATGGATTCAACTACTAAATTACTACAATCTCTATAAAAACCTTCAATCTAGATTATGTATATCTATATTCTTATTAGAAGCCTAATTTGACTTATAGACTATCTATAATACGATTTACTGTTCTTAAGTTACGTTCAGTTTATTGCTTACAGTTTCCCACATTCACAGCCTTTTTTGGCTAGATCTTGTACAAATTTTACTCCCTATTTTGTGTTTTGATGTGGTCTGTCTAGCTGGTACATAAACCAAGGATCTTTGGGATAAGTGATTCACATACTGAGAGTTGTTGTTGGCGTTCTGGATCAAATAAGGACTCTAGGCTGCTCATGTCAGTCGAACGTCATTGGATTGATACAGTACTAAAACTGTATAAGTGTAGTGAACAGAACACTAGTTGGTGACAATCGAATGTATTTAAGCAGAATTACAGACTATCTCAGTAAATTCTGAAAACCATACAATGAACAGTCAATTTGCAAATTAACAACCAATTGTTTCAATCTTCACTGTTTCTTCTCTAATTCCACTGCTCATGCATTTTCCAAACGATTACGCTTCATTTCAGTTCTTTCCTCATCGGTCTTCTGCCAAAATACATTCTATGTCTGACCCACACCATATACTACTTATATGGATATAAGTAGACCACACCACATAAGTCATATTTCGATTGGAGAATAACTCACCTGATAATTAGCCAGGCTTAGAGTCATAACAAATACTTCTTCAATTAATTCTATTCTAATTGTTATAAACCATTTCAAATTATTGTTATAACATGTGAGTGCGTGCGTGCCCTGTTTTATATATGGGATGATGATGCACACCAATCAGAGAGGAGCGAATTATCGATCGGAGCAATGATACACAAAAAACTGTATGAGCAGTCTTGAGTACTTGTCAGTCCTGCTTTCTGCCTAGCCCAGCCAGTTAAGTTCAGAACACCAATAACAGCCTTTGCAATATGAATCATTATTCTCAAACGTAATGGGTTTATATACCAATCAAACAGACCACATCGTACTATGAAATATAAAATAACATTTATACAAGATTTGACCAAATGTGGCTGTGAATAGGGAGGGAACAGTAATCAATAGACTGGGGATAACTCAAGAATGGTAAATCGTATAATAATAGACTATGGGTCAAAATAAAGCTTGTAATAAAAGGGACACGAATATGAATAGTTTAATAACTTAACAGTTATACAATAGGAAATATACATATCATATTGGTCCATAAATAGTCCTCAAAGTTACCATTCACAATTCTCCACGGGATATAACATATATGAAATATGCAGTAGAACAATATATAATACTGTAAAATACGCATATCTACTTACTTTCTCACCTAATAGTTTATTTAAACGACTATGTGGAGGCGCTTCATAATGATATGCTAACCAAGCTTGATTTTGATGATTTTTAACTTTTGGAAAATTACCATTGGTAATAATAACCATTTCAGCATAATATGAACGCCATTTTGTCTTATGAAGTATACAATTCGATACTAAACAACCTCGAAGGTCAGTATTAATAGGAACTGTTGTTTTCCCATAAATAACAATCTCTTTGATCTAAATAAGATATTAGTTAGAAACAATGGGATATATTTAGTATAATAATTACGTAAACAACATTTGTAAAGCAAAGATGGGTAATGGCTAGCAATGGAATCCAGCATGCGTGTTTCGCCCCATTTGGGACTCATCACCTGGATGTACCTGCATCTCAGAGTTGATGTCCACTCTGAGATTCGAACCCAGTACCTTTCACTTCAAACGCCATTGCGTTATCCACTCGGCCACTGAGTCCTGATAGCTGCTTGCTTGTGAGATGGGGTGGAGTTTAAATTCATTCAGTATAGTTTGTTTGAATCTTCCCATCGATTTGTTAGGACTGTAACTGGTCAGTCTCTAATTGGCATACGTGCATACTGTGCGTATTGCCTCGATATAGCCTTAATTCACAAGCATGGTAAGCAGAGATGTGTAGTGGCTAGCAGTGGAATACAAGAAGCACATTTCATTGTATTTGAAAGTCTGAGACTATTGGTTTAGGTCTTATTTGTAGATGAAGACTACTTGATTGGGGTACAAGAGTTAAACACGGTTAGTGATTGACGATATTGAATAAGATGTTTCGAATGGATATGCATTTTATTTTACTCTAGGTATTGAGTTCCATTATTCTTTTAAACAATCTTTTTCATATTACTCTTCCAAATTATTTTTCTGGATAACATTTATTAGCGAGTTAGTTTTCTACGAGATGGGGTCGCTAACATTATGCCAAACCCTCCTCCTTTATCCAGACCGAGGACCGGCAGTAGCCCACAGAGGGTATTCACCTTTTTCATTTTATCATGTTTTTTCTAATAAAGTATGACAACTTGAACAAACCTATATCTTTATCAAACTCTTTGTTAATTATAAGAGATTGACTTGTAGTGAACAAAACATGCGTGGGAACAACCCAATGTACATTATCACAACATTACAAAATATCTCATTAAAATATGAGAACCAGATGTTGAAAAGTTAATTTGCAAAATAACAATCAATTGACTCAATTTGGCCGTTTCTCCTGAAAATATCAGTGTATAGTCTCCGATTATAATTGTCCGTGTATTTTCGTACCAATTGCGTGCCGTTCCCGTTCTCCCCTTATCGATCTTCTGCTAAAATACATTCTATGTCTTACCATCACCATATACTACTTATATGGATATCAGTAATCTACACCACAGACTGACCAATCAAATTATAACTTGGTATGAATTAGAGTATCTATCCATCTTGTCATAATTCTTATGGTTAACTTAAATGAATTACCATTAAACTATTTTATATAGAATTCTTAACCAATTTTAATAATAATAATAATTCATAGTTGAAATCATGAGTCAATTGAAGCTAGACCACCATGGAAAATTTGGAAGCACTGGATGGCTATTTCGACCTATTGTGGGACTTCTAAGCAGTGCGCATCCACGAACCCATAATAGGACGAAACGACCGTCCAGTGCTTCCAGGTTTTCCATGGTGGTCTAGCTTCAATTGACTCATGATTTCAACCATGAAAAATACTGAAATCTCCACAAAACCCCCTTCTGATAATATATATATATATATATATATATATATATATATATATATAACTATTGAATCAAACTAACTTTTTCAGTGTTCAATTTGAACTTCCCATTCACGAAATCCCTAAAAATATACAAAAATAGATCATACAGGAAAACAAAAAACATTGAAAAACAAAAAACAAATTGAAAAACAGAGAAAAATATTGAAAAACGGTTGCTCAAAATCGTGGATTGGTTGAAGTTAGACATTAACACCATCGGATGCAGGCCAGCTCAGTGGTCTATCGGTCATGTGCTCTAGCACGAGACTGGTAGGCCCTGGCTTTGAATCTCGTGAGTGCAGGATCGTGGATACACACTGCTGAGGAGTCCCACAATAGGACGAAATGGCCTTCCAGTGCTTCCAGGTTTTCCATGTTGGTCTAGCTTCAATTGACTCATGATTTCAATTATGAAAAAAAAACCAAAAAGTACCCCATTACTTACCTTTTTAATTCATGAAATGTTGAATAACTATTGTATACTTCATTTATTTCATTATATTTACATAAATGATATCTAATAAAAAAATTTTGAAGAAAAATATTTTTATACTACTTATTTACTTATAAATTACTTTTGTATGAATATAAATATAAATGGTAATAATAGAATACTTAGAATGATGTAATAATAACTTCTTTGTCTATAAATGAAATAATGATTAAATTGTATCCATGGAATATTCATTTATATGTTACTCTAAATATATTGAATATTTAAACATTTTGTTTTAAAAACAAAAATCATTATCCTGTGGAGGGGGGGCGGTTTGTTTTTTAAATAAAGAGATCCATTGTGATTTCTATCTAAATATTTATATATTTATTCTATTTATAATTAACAAATCAAATTGTTACCTTTTTTGATTGGATAATCCATTGAAGAACGAATGGAAAAAGGAAGGCAAGATAGAAAGAAAGACATAAATGAAAAACGAAGAACAAGATAGATATTCTGTTGAAATGATTTATTGATAGTAGGATCTGTATAGATTTTGCTTCTCATTTTATTGATCAAAATTATTTGTTTGATGTATAAGCAAAGATGGATAATAGTGGCTGGTAATGGAATATAGGATGCATGTTCTGTCCTATTTAGGACTCGTCAGCTGCATATACATATATCTCAGAGTTGATGTTCATAAGTAAGTGGCTATCAGGAATCAGTAGCTAAGTGAATAACATGATGGTGTTTGAAACGAACGGAATTGAGTTCGAGTCACAGAGTGAACATCAACTGTGGGATGCAAATACATATAGTTGGAGAGTTGAAAATAGGATGAGACGCGCGTTCTGGATCCCATTACTAGTCACCATTCATCTTTGTGTTATAATGCTTATGACTCAAGGTAATATCGAGGCAATACGTGTTATATCCTGGTGAAGACATAAGTACGGGTAACTCCCAGGACCAATTAATGGACTATAATTCTATGTATAATCTTATTGTTTAACTATTCAGTAACTAGATTATGTATATCTATATTCATCTTATTATAAGCTTCATTTTGACCTATAGGTTATTATTATACGATTTACTATCCCTAAATTATATTCAGTTTATTGATTACTGTCTCCCACGTTCACAGTCACATTTGACTTGATCTTGTACAAATATTATTTTCTATTTTATGGTGTGCTGCGATCTGTTTGTCTGGTATATAAACCGAGTATGCTTGAAATAAATGATTCGCATAACAGAAGCTGCACTTGTTGTTCTGGACTCAATTGGAAGGGCTAGGTGGACAAGAGACCAATAAGGACGCTAGACTACGCATACCACTTGAACGTCATTGATGTGGCACAGTGTTAAGATTAGACAAGTCGTATTTCGATTGGCGGATAATTCACGTGATAAAAAGCCGGACATAAAATCAATAACGAATCAGCATACGACCTATTCTTCTATGAAGTTATAACAATACGCACACTGTGCAAATATGCCAATCAATTGGAGTTTTGAACATCAATAGGGAGATTCAAGTAAACAATATCAAATGAATTGTGTGATGTTTGATAGAATAAAGGACGTTTTAAATGAATCATGAGTTTTCAAACATATTGATACCTATTGATAGACATATTGATATCCTATGAGGATTGCCTCTAAACAACCATTATGACACAAATCAATACACAGTATATAGAATGTAATTAGCATAGGGATTCAGAATGCGTGTTTCACCCCATTTGGTACTCATCAGCTACTAACTTGTATATTTATCATAAATATTATCCCTACTATGTACAATATTATTTGGGTTATCATAAACTAAAAGGCATAAAATTCCTATCTTTATTTGATATTTTCAACTTATAATACAATATTACTTTATACTTACAGTCTCTTAATATTCTTTAAGTTGATAATAATCTTCACTCTGTAATTTATCTTCACTTTGTCCTATGATATAACTTCTGTGATGACTGAAAACATAGTCGATTACCTTGTAGATGATAAAATATTCTTGTATTTTATTATACATTTCTACATATTAATATTATAAACAGTAGGATACTTGTTATAATGCTAGGGTTTCTTGTTGTAACAGTCCTTTCACTTTTTACACGTATGTGGGACGTTTATTTACCTTAGACGAATATTTACACTAGATTTCTCACCCAGTGTCTATTCTACAGGACTTCAACACAACTCAGATCAAGAACACAAGATTAGCCTGAGTAGAACGTCAATATATTTCCACACCGAATTCCGACACAAAGAACAGTCAATCAATAGCAGTCAGGATAGGGGAATATATATAACACATATAACACTTGTCATTCTATCTAATGTCTGACTCAGCGAAACAACCAATCATTGTCATTCTCGCCCACGCATCAATTAATTAACTAAAAATACGAATCTTTAGCTTTAGTAAACGACATAGAAAGAAAATCTTCGTCACTGAATTGAATTTTCATTTTGTAGTTTGTTGATTTAGGATGGTGGTTAGTGGTAGTCAACAGGAAACCCTGTACTTAGATTTCGTGCTACTTGGTACCTGTAATCTTGAGGGAACTGATGCTTCTTGACGGATTCGATCCGATGTCACCCAACTTCACGGTTAGAGACTTTACCACTAGGCTGTTTTAGTGTAACTTTGTTTTGTTCATTGTTGGGAACCTAATTCTATTTAAAATACAATACCTTCACATGTGCTCAAAGTGTTATTACTGTTTTTGTATGGCAATCCATTCTTAACTACTTCAGTACATATAAACGAATCTGCGAACTACGAGTGCACACATTACATTCAGTGCTACTATCATTTCTGTTTAGCTAACCAATTATGTTCAATAAAAATCTTTAAAACTTACTACTGTCCTTATTACTAAGAAATTAAAGAAGACTTACCAAAACAGTTAGTATATTTTTCGCTTCATCTGTATTTTGGAGAAACTTTCAGTGATTACTATAGGACTTACACATCAAATAAGCTATGTAATAAAATGAGATGTCATGGGAAACCATGATCATAAATATATGAACGGATGATAATCACTGTTTAAAAGCAATGAAATATTCCAAAAGTAGACGCGTATACACAATGGAATTTACTGTCCTATTAAAAATTTTACGGTGAGAATTCTTTACTGAAAGTAAATATTTGGTATTCCATAGATCGATTGACGCGGTCATCGTTCGCTAAACGGCTTTTCCTTTATTATAATTTAACACGTTGAGTATACATTATTGCTATTATTGTAGTGAACGAGAACACAAATTGGGACAACCAAATATATTTGAACAGAACATTACAGAATCTCAATAAAATCTGACAAATGTGCAGTAAATTCTTTATTTTCATAGTGTTCATCAATTGTCACAGACTTTATCGTCCCTTCATTTCCATGTCACTCACTCTCTGTTCTCGTTTCCTTCTCTTTGATCTTCCCAAGCTTTTATCGCCATGCAATCCACTTTCGATTGGTGATATATACTACTTATATCTATCGATATCAGCAGCACATACCATATTATTATTCGCAAACAAATTATTCATAAGTATGTGTTATGAAATGACTACTTCAGGTTTTATCATATACACAATCACATGCAACATATTCAATATTATTTGCATGATATTTAACTACAAACTGTTCAGTAGATTCTACATACATGAAAAAGATGTTAATTTGACATGTTTCTATCATGTAAAGAACACAGAATTTAAAAGAAATTGCAATTATGTTGAAAGCGTAGAGGTGATAACACTGAAAATAGAAATTCGAAATGGGAAAAGAAGGTTATTCATTGAGAAAAATAGAGAAAATATATTACAAATAAAAGGCAAAAAGCTTGAGGTGACCTGCTTTTCTCGACAAGAACGCGATTTGTATAATAGAAACAATTATTATTATAACCAATTGTACCAATTGTAACCAATTTTACTGTACTTGTTGTTGTTTAACTGTATCAAAGTCACTTCTCGTTCCGCTATCCATCTTGTTGGTTCGAACTTTCTTACGCTCTGCCCTTATTGCCTGTACTCGTTGGCACGTCTCGGTATTCTTTCGATACCACGAGATCGCCAATAAATATACTTTATCTGGACTAATTACAGCCTTCTGATTCACGAGCTATCAAAGGAACCAAGTCGATTTCGGGCGCGTAATCTTACTGTAGCGGTGATCATAGTCAATCGAGACTCGATGCCATCTACAAGTTAATAAAAAATGGAGAAAAATAGTTGACCATCTTTCACATATGAAAGTATCAACCTGTCTTAAATGAAAAACATTTTATGCATAGTACAATAAAAGTACACACAAAACAAAACTCGATTGGTGTATGGAGTTTAGTTCGTAAACAGTCACATTTAATCTCATAGGTGTGTTGACTCAAAGCAGAGTGGAAGTATCTGTCAAAAGCTTGCGGACGTTGTCACAGTTACAAACTGTAAGTCAAAATAAGTTAGTTTAGTTATGTTTGTGTTATAAAATATGTTGTATTTCTTCAATATAAAATCTGGAAGATTGAAAACGAAAATAAATGGCATTGTTAGGCATTCTGAAAGAACAAAAGTAATGAAAAAATTTTGGTATTCGTTAGATAATATCAAACTAAATCTTGTTTCGAAATCGCTTTGTCATATATATATACTGATAATATCGAAACCTGGTTCTCCTACGCAAAAGCTGGCTTTCATGAACATGGAGTGACAGACTCGCATTCACAATTTCTCGCTGTAGTGGAAGCACTGCTGCGCGATTTTAACAGGTTCATCAAACCCAGTAGACATGCTGGTTATTTTTTTGAACCTTACGGCACCTTGAAAACGGCTATTTTTAAACTTGGACACCATTCTGATCGACAAAGGTTGAACCAGCTCTTCCACAGATTACAATTGCAACAAAGCCGAAGAACAGAAACGTTGCGACTTTGGTGAGAGTTCATTGGTCGACGGACCTTTGACGATGGCCTCTCTATATAGCTCTTCTTATCTAAGCTTCTCAAAAGGTTCGAAAATTCTTACCTCATTTCGAAATAATGCCGTACATGAACTGGCTGCATCTGCTTAATGGATTCTGTAAATCACAAGAACCCCCAGCAGCGGGGTTTATTCTGCAAAGAGAATCATCGAACGGTACAAAATGACATTTCAGATATTTGTAATAACTTCACTCGTTATCTTCATAATCATCATAACCGCAAACGCCGCAAGACTTCTCGAAGATACCCATCACTGAAAATATCTGCCTCAAGATCAGAGTTGGCTGATAACCCTGATCGCTGTTGATACCACAACATTCACGGCAAGTCTCCTAGGAATTTTGGAATACCCTGCGATTTCCCGAAATCCCAACGATCCGTCACAAAAGCCTCTTGCGATACTTCCCCAGCCGGCACGCGTTAACGGGGACCGTAGCCAGCGTACACAGCCATCTGTCATACATCAGTGGTATGATAACGAAGGCTCAACGTCTCGTCGACGATGGCATGGAAGCAAACGTTATCCCCACAAATACTATTGACTGTCTGCGAGAAACAGCCTTTGGTTTACATTAGGCAAACAGAAAAATGATAGCCATATACGGTAAAAGATATGTTAAGATATCTTGATATAAGTTTACGCAAACCCATTCACTGGATATTTGCTGTGGCAGACCTTTATATGTCAATTATTGGTATGGACCTGCTATAACACCATAATATACTCACATAACACTGAACTTTATCTATGTGGTAACCACTACTAATAAGTCCGCATAAAATAAAGCTCATACTGGAAAGTCATGAAAATTTATGAGAGTGAACTTAAACTTGCAGACAAACTAACAGAAAACTAAAGCACATTTACCCAGCCACCTATCAGACGGCTAATGGGAAAATCAATCTCGAGGAACTCAACACAACTTATTGTAAACCTTAGCAAAGCAAATCAAAATGAGCAATCTGGTCTCACCATCCTAAAAAATCCGTGAAAGAATATCCATCAAAGCCTGGCCAACTATTTGGTGGCAGATCTCTCAATATGACTCACTCCACAATTATTTTACTCAATCATCTTACCTCTCCCATTCGCTATCTTGACAGTAGCGCTAGAAGGCTACGAAGGGAATTTCCTGAAATAAAAGAGCTAACTAAAGGAAAACGTACAATAACACTGGCCTTTTGGAAATGTTTCTTATCAGTGATGTCAGTGAAAGGGAATTCCTCCCTAACGACTTCCAATTGTTTTGCAAATAAAGATATAGCGTTGTTGGAGTTGAGGTCATGCATGGTGTTCATTTCCCCCATAATTCACAACACCTAATCTCACACGGTGAATTATTGGTATGTCTTACAATGTTTCATAAACTGTACATGTAATTCTTGTCAGGAAGGTGCACTTTATAGACCATCTGAAACCCCTTCCTTTCAGAATAGTTTATTCCTTCAAGTTATCAGAGAAGCTCTAGAAATTCATTTTTCCAAGATTTTATCGGTCGGTGCTTCAGAACTATTAGTCTCTGATCCTTAGAATGCATTTCGAAGCTGATTACAGATAACAGAAACTTGATAAATGAGTTTAGCTTATATGAAAGTAGGCATGATGATGCCCATTAAGGATCCAATGGATATACCTCTGGTCTGGATCGTATTTCCACCAACACCTTAATGGAATTTGCTGACTTCACAGTTTTGAAACTTCCGGAACAAAGCGACTATGCTTTCACATCGTTCTATCTCTCCCCAATTGATCTTTTCATGAATGAGTCCTGTGGATGTAGTGGCGATGTGGGTTTCAGGTTACCTATACGGTTATTGTAAGTTGTCGTTGTTTACCGCCAGATTAGTTTTCTATTACAAGTGGTGTGCCATAAGGCTCAATTCTGGTATTATTCATCTGCTTATTATTCATTAATAGTCTCCCTAACCCTTTCGACTCGCGAATCCTCCTTTACTCAAGCAGCCGTTGGATCTGCAAGGCAGTACCATACCCACGTGATACCTTGACTCTCTATGAACACTTGCATAAAACACACAGTTAGATTGCTA